TTGGATTTACAGCACAGCTCCTTCCCCTGTGCAGTCATGCCTGAGACATATAAAATCATTACACTGAACTAAATCTGCAGCAGTTTTTGTCTCATGTTTTACTCCTTTAATAGGGACTTTGAACTTTATTTAAGTAATAACTGCCATCATCAACACTTATCTTTGCATATAAAGTTCATTTAATTAGTACACTCCCTCCTCATCCTGATCACGCGGGTAGCGCTGTGGGTAAAACCTCAGTGCCTAGGGCTTGCCGATCACATGGTCGGCGGTTCGAATCCCCGCGGCGGGGTGAGCTCCCATCGTTCGGTCCCAGCTCCTGCCCACCTAGCAGTTCGAAAGCACAATTAAGTGCAAGTAGATAAATAGGTACCGCTTTCTAGCGGGAAGGTAAACGGCGTTCCGTGTGCTGCGCTGGTGCTGGCTCTCCAGAGCAGCTTCGTCACACTGGCCACGTGACCCAGAAGTGTCTCCGGACAGCGCTGGCCCCCGGCCTCTTAAGTGAGATGGGCGCACAACCCTAGAGTCGGACACGATAGGCCCGTACGGGCAGGGTGCCTCTCCTCATCCTGCCCATCCCACACATCTTTCACAAATTCTATTCAAATAAATTCAGATGATCTAACCAGGGAATACATTCCCATGGTTCTCAGCATCTCAAGATGCAACTTATGTAGATAATAAAGGTAAAGGTAAAGGGACCCCTGACCATTAGGTCCAGTAGTGACTGACTCTGGGGTTGCGGCGCTCATCTCGCTTTATTGGCCGAGGGAGCCGGCGTACAGGTCATGTGGCCGGCATGACTAAGCCACTTCTGGCGAACCAGAGCAGTGCACGGAAACGCCGTTTAGCTTCCCGCCGGAGCGGTACCTATTTATTTACTTGCACTTTGACGTGCTTTCAAACTGCTGGGTTGGCAGGAGCAGGGACTGAGCAACGGGAGCTCACCCAATCGCGGGGATTTGAACCGCCGACCTTCTGATGGGCAAGTCCTAGGCTCTGTGGTTTAACCCACAGTGCCACCCACATCCCTATGTAGATAATATTTGCTACTAGAAAAGTGTTATGCTGAAAAAGGCAGCCACCATTTACCAACTTGCAAAGTAATACTTAGTTGTTGTTTTTTACACATTGGGCTGAATTTATCTGAAGACATTTGAAAGTGACACATAAATTAGTCTGGCAGCTTTAAAGTAAATGGGCCAGACCAGCTGCCCAATGTTATTCCAGCACTAATTCTGACTTTATGGGGGTTAAAAGCAGAGCTGCTGAGAAAGTGGTCTCGGTTTTTCACAAACATTTTCAACATGCCAAGAGGTGCCTTCAGTTTTCAGCTATTTCTGAGCGCTTGTAAAAAATAAAATAACAATGTTCAGTTAACCATGTTGTTGTCTTCAATTGCTCTCATGTGCCCTCAGTGATGTCATCTGATAGTAAAATCTGATTGGATATGTCATGCTGTGATATCATTCCATTCGATGGTCTTGTTTGGACATAACTCTACACTACGGTTCAGCTTTATGTAAATGAGTCACAGGCTTGTCAGCTTCCCCTCCCCCTCCTTAATGGTCATAAAGAGGCAATCCGTCATCGTCGTCGTCATCATCGTAGTAGTGGATGATGATGATTACAATTTATATACCACCCTTTATCCGAAGTTTTGACTTTCATTTTTAACTAGTTTAGTATCATGGGATGTTTGAACCTGGGTAACTGCTTTCTGAAGTTGTCTTGTTTATCCCAAACCATAACTAAGAACAACCACAGTTTAGGGTTCAGAATAATAACATACTGTGATTTACTGAAAATGCAAGTAAGAGCTTCTAATCTCCTCCTTCCAGCCTCACCAGAGGTAAACTGTAAGTGATGCATACAGGGCCATGCATTTGATAATGGATCTCCTCCAGTCATGTAGAAGAAATCCTGGGGGCCATTTTTAGGAGGGCAGAACTTTCTCCTGCCTTTTGTACATCTTCCCATAACATCACGAATGGTTCATTTCCCTGCTTCTCATCAATGGTTGGTGGTGCGGGGGGGGGGACATTTTGAGGGGGGTGGGAAAGAACTCAGTGTGGGGTTGCTATTTTCAGTAGCAGCTCCATTTTGAGTGTCTCCTCCATTTCTGCCTGAGGAGTGTGATGGTGCAGGTGTATGAGGAATCCAACCAACAAGACATTCATTAGCTGAGCAATGATGATGGGTTGTCTGAAAATCCTGAAGATCTTCAAGAAAAACAGAACTGCTTTCGTGGCATTTCTGTGTTGTAAGTGTAGATGTAATCGTTGCACTACACATTTTATATTGCACATAGCAAAGGTGGCAATGATCCCACTGAGAAGTGACTGGTTTCAAGCCAACAAAAAACAGAAAACTTATTTTGCCAAGAATGGAGAGCATTCTCAAAGAGAATAATTTGATTGCCATGCGAGTAACGGCTTCAGCTTGTTTGGAGTTTTGAGGACTAAATTATGTAAAGGTGTGAAAGGGTTTGTTGTTGTTTTTTAATGCACAAAAAGATTCCAGTCCTGCCAAACAAAATTCTACATGAAAGAAACGATTCAAGTCTTTGAAATGCCCAGTCTCTATGTGGTTTTTTTTTAAAAAGCAAACACAATCAAGGTTCCTAAATTTAGACAATGCTACAATAATATATCTTATTTTGTAAAAAGCCAATTTTCAGATTTGTTTTTATTTGTCACCAGAAGGTGACTTTACCACATTGGTTTTGTGTAGTGAATATTTTGGCCTAGAAAATTGTCCGCCATTCTGGTTATAAGAAGAAGAGTTTGTATGTGGAGCGAAGGCTTCAGTATGGCAGAGGCTTGACATACCTTTGTGCACAGAGGTGCACTGCACATTCCTTGTCTCTTGGCAGCAGCACTTTCAACACAGCAATGTTCCCTAAGTACCAAATCTACTTTTTCAACCATAGGAGTAAGTGGCAGCCACTCACTTATGTAGGAAAAAGTAAAGGTGTGTGCTTGAGGGCAGCCGTGGAATGTCTGGGGTGGGAGCAGGTTAGGACTCTTGGTCAACTGTGCACCAGGCTGCAGACTGCTTTTTGTTCTACAGAATTCAACAGAGAATTTAGTTTACAGACCCTAGATCTCTATATATGTAATGGTTACACATACACAGTGTGTGTGTGTGTGTGTGTGTGTAGAGAGAGAGAGAGAGACAGAGAGAGAGAGAAGATGACAACATATAGAAACACCCCCCCCCCAAAAAAATGCCATAGGAAAGGGGTTAATGCAATATCAAAAAGTCATGGGTGGAAGAGTTCTATTATGTGCAATTAAGAAAACACACAAGGAAGGCTATCACTCCAAATTTAACAACCTTGATCTTTTCAGAGTGATTCATGCTGAGGAGGTAGGTGCTTATCTTGTCTATTTTGATTCACAAAAGTACTAAAAGGCGGCCAATAACATGCTAAGAGTATAATTAAGAAGACTTCTGCTTAACCAATTTCTTCATCAAACAAATTCCATGAGTGACTTTTTTGCAACAATGCCTTAGATAACTTTCAGAAAGGAGTCTCTCATCAGCCCCTGTTAGAAACTGAATGCTGGACTAGCGGAGCCTTCGCCTGATCCAGGAATTCCGTTCTTCTCGCTAGTCATAAATGTACGGATTGATTTACTCTCAGACTTACTGGTGTATCTTATGGGAAGTGTGTCCAGCCAGAAGGGGGAGATGTGGCCTGTGGCTAGCTAGACCAGTCCAAACAATTACCCTGGAAATTGAATCAAGTGGAGGGTGTCAGAAAAAGAGTGTTCATACTATCCAACTTCATCTGTATATTGAAAAGCGGAGAGTGCTGCTCCAACAGCTGTTCCCAACAGCCTTATGAAGTTCCCTAACCTTCCTGACACAGAAACAGGAGATGAAGTCAACTCGCCTAGTCTGTCAAGTACATTTTTTTCTCATTATTCAACACTTAACAGGGATGACAGCCAAGATTAAATAGTCAGTCGTCTTCCACACCATTATGGCTCCTGCATGATTGCTTCAAATTAAATCTAACAGTCAATGAACTAGTCAATATTTAATTTACCCATTGCAGGTGGCGATTTAGCTTTGGTTTTTATATTGTTTAATGGCATAAATATTAGTATTTATCATTTTTTACGGGCTGAGAGAAAAGAAACCATTCCTCTATTTTGTGGGATATCTGGGCAACATTAACAAAGATATCACTCTTTAGGTATTTGCCACAAAGTTAAGGTTATAATCCTGTCCACCATTATGCTAGATCATTCCTATTGGCCCCAATCCAAATGTGTGCTTGTGCAATGTAGTCAGATAAATGGTGAGTGTTCTGATCAGTTGTTTGGCAGAGAGGGATACCCCAGTCTCTTACTTTCCTAAACAGGCCCTTGGCATCATCGCTGGTTATCTGATTGGACTATGCATGCACAAGCCTCACTGCTGGACTGGGTTGAGGAATGACATTCACAGCACCAGTTTTCATGTGCTATTCCTCACCTCACTAAGGATAACCACACAAGCTTCTTTGTTTGTCCTTATGTCCCTTAGTGCTGGACTGAATGACCTCATTGTGATTTAAGCAGAATTTCATTTTGCACACAATCCTGTAGCCACAATAGGGATAAATGAAAATAAAAGAAGCTGTTAGAGTATGTTAAAGAGCCCTGCTGCAATAATTTTCCAAGCTTGCATTTTTTTAAATGTGCAAGTTGCACACACCTATGAGACCATTTTAATTTAGAGAGACCCTAGTGTCACAGGGGAAGAGCTCGAGGCTTTCAGGGTTAATATCTGTCTGCTCTTTTGACCTCCCAGGCTTAGTTAAAGAAAAAGCCATTACACACTGTAAGAGGGAGAGTTCCACCAGAAAGAGTATCTTTGACTTTCATTTTTGACCTTTTGACCACCTAAGAGTTCATCAAGTGGAGACAGATGTTTTAAACACAATTTCCATACTTTTTCTATTAAAAAAAATAGCCCCACAATTCTCTTTCTTTTAAATATTTTTTGAGAATGTTCATTGGCCTTGCTACTAGAGTTTTTAATAAAAACCAAGAATGTGTAGCAATACAGACATGACCTAGATACAGGCATTTAAATGCTATCGTTTAATTAGCTATGGCCTCTCCCAGCCCAAGAGTGGTCATTGTAAACTTTCAAGATACATCAGTAGAGATCAAACAAAAAATGGTTCCAGACATGTTGTTGACCCACACTGATGCACTGTGTGATCTGAGAGTTGCACTCCCTGCCTTTGGTAAGGTGTGCACCTCTCAAGACTGCATGCTACTTCCTTCTTTGACTCTCTTGCAGTGTCCCAAGAGACTGGGTAGTTGCTTGTGCAGTTAGGCTGACAATGAATATAAAGCTATTCCTCTGCTACAAATGTGAGTCACTATCATCAGCATTTTACTGATGGAGGGCCAAGGGAGCGAGACAGTGACTTAGCCGTTGCCACACATTTAAAGCCTAAGAGGCTGTGCACCCAGCCATCTACAGCGGAGGGTTCATAGACCCATGCCTGGTCATTTATGTGGACTGAGGTGCCTGCAAGAAACTCCTCCCCAAACTATTCACCTGTGCAAGCAGCATATACATGTACTCATGTATGCTCCAGAGGTATACATACCAAACACTGGGGTGGGGGGAGCCTAAGGCTTGCTTTTGCACACACAAAACATATTTTAGTATTCATTAATAAACACAGTTATATACATATATCATAAATATATCAAAGCAGTGCATCTGTACATAATAAAAACCAGAGACAGTCAACTAACTACTACAGAAATATATTTTCTAAACTGCCTGCATAAGCCTGATGGCACTTTGAACCTGGAACAGAAGACACCTGGTGGCTCTTTAGGGGCAGGGTATTCCATAAGACTGGGCTCTATTTCCTGTTGATGTCAAATAAGCCTCATCCACTTGGTGGAGTGGGGCAACAAAACTCCCACAGATGATCTTCGTGATCAAGCTGGGATATAAAGGTTAAGGTGGACCCTAGGATACCTGGCGCTAACCTTTTCAGGGCTTATAAATTAATGCAAGAACCTTGAATGTGGTGGAGAAGTAGAGGTAAAAGGTAAAAAGGTAAAGGACCCCTGGATGGTTCAGTCCAGTCGAAGGCGACTTTGGAGTGCGGTGCTCATCTCGCTTTTCAGGCTGAGGGACCGGTATTTGTCCACAGACAGCTGAAGGGCAGTCAAACGAATACAAAATATTTTTATATTTATTTTACAGATGGCAGGCTCCTAGGACCATGGCCCTCTTTCCTCTTTGCTATGTCCAGGGTGCAAAGGAGTTCACCACCTGCTGGTGTGAAGCAGTTCTGAATCTGGATGGGTAGCCCATGAGCACCACCTTGGCTTCCCTGTCAGAAGACAGGCAGGAAATAAATATGGGGGGCGGGACTGTGAACTGAGCCTTTTCTAGTCACCTTGAATCCAAACTTTTATCCCTTCAACCACAAAAGTCATCTCACCTTACAGTGAGGAGAAACATTTGATTCCATTCAGAGAAAAAAGAATTCTCCTTCTCTTCCAAAACAACAGTATAGATCCAAGCCCCATAAAAGTATTGCATTACCACAGCAACCAACTGTGAGGCAGAGCTGGTTTCAGTAAATACACTTGTATTTCTGTTAAGTAACCCAGTTAGCAATCTGCTTAAGGATGAATCTGAGTAACAATCTGCTTAGTTAACCATATGTTTGCATATACGTGCTGGAATCTCCATGTGTGCAGTTACGTTAGTGTGGAATGTCTTAAGCATGCGACTGGGCGATCCTGTCAATATACATTTTTCTTTTTGCTGTTAATATACTATTCCTCTCTTATTAGAAAGAAACAGTAATACTAAAATAATGACTTAATAATATCAGCTCTTCCAAGCTTTGCTCTTTTTAGGAAAATGTAGACACTTTTAGTGTGTTGTGTTCAGCTCTAAATATGGTATAGCTTCTCCTTTTCTCTAAAATGTTTACTTTCTTTTTCCCAATAATTTATTCCTGAACAGCTAAATATGGAATTATTTGGTCACTCAATTGTTTAGAAGGAAACCCCTTTCACTCTGCAGTGTGTCCATGCCAGAGTTCACACCTTCATCATTAGGACTTTTGGTTGCATCCATTGTTTAGTCTATTTTAGTGTGGATTCACTGAAATGAATGGAAGCAACTAACTCCAATGGGTCTACTCTGAGGAAACCTAACATTGGGTACAGCCTTCTGAGTCTGAACCCAATTTCCAAACTAAGTGGCATTGTTTTTGCCAGATTCAGTACTGTGCTTGCGAATTTACCTTGGGGTGGTCCAGATTGGGGGTTTTTTGGGGGGGAGGGGTTGCCTCTGGCCATAGCCTCACTCAAGTAATAGAATTTTGGAAAGCAATAGTTGGTAATTCTAGTCTGCTTTACTTCATCTAGCTAGAGTACTTTAACTGGCAGTAGATCTCCAAGCACATAATATCCTCAACTAGGTGCTGAAAATTGAACATGGGTCTCCTGCCTATGACACATCAGCACATTTATGCACAAGGAACACACTGGATTCAGTAACATCAATCAATATGGTATGTTTCTTTGGCCGAGTATCATGGGCCCGTATTTACCATGACACACACTGTTGAGTTGATGGAAATAGATTGTTCCCCCTCCCCCTCACACACTTTTCTTTTTTTGCATGGCAGAGATAGCTTGTTATCACTCTGCAGCTTGCCTTTCACAGCACATGCACCACTTACTTCCCAACTGAAGCTCAGCTTTAGCAATATTATCCAGACAGCCTGCCACAAAAGAACTCAATTTAAAATGGCATTATTGTATCTTGTGGTTAAAGATCCCATTAGCTGCTTTCTTGTCCCTTAATATAACCACCATTTCATCAGCACTTGAAAGTTAAGTTTCAGGGGTGGCAATCGAGGGATATGACAATCTGGTAAACTTTTAAAAAATCTAGGTCATCCATCCAGCACCCTGATACAGAGGTTCATGCTCTTCAGAAGATGGTTTACTTATTGGATGTATAATTCGTACTCTAATCTTTCTCCTTCAAAAGACATGAGTGCACAGTGACAGTTTAAAAAAACACAATATTGTGTTTTCTATTTTCTAGAGCAATTTTCAAGCTTGCACCACACTTTCCACCCAACAATTGCTGGTATAACCCCACCTAAAAGTGAGGTGCAAGCATTATATTATGTTTCCTCATCTAGCTGTCTCTGCGTGTATGCTACATGCGGCCTGTCCTGGAAGACCTGCTCCTTGCCTTGCAGGCCTTTTCCCACCTGGCCTGGGAGTGGAACTGACTCCAGCTACACAAGCGGAGGTTGCTGAACAGACTCTTGGGCTGGGGTGTTTAATGGGGTTCTTGCCGTTGTTGCTCTGTGTGTGTGTTTCGATATTTTGTTTACTGTATATGACTTTTGTTATGCTTTTAGCTATGCAATTTTTAAATATGTGTAAGCCGCCTTGAGCCCGGTTTTAACATTGGAAAGGCGACATACAAATAAAGTGCTTGATAATACTCCAACATCCTATAAGGTCTTTCCAGTGACTCCTAGGTACTTTTCCCTACCCAGAGCCAGACCCACCATTAGGTAGGTCATCTGACCCAGCAGATCCTGGCAGTAGCCATTCCTTATAAGCCCCCCATGTCATTCCTCTCTGTTGGATATTGGAGCAATGTCTACCACTGGCCAGTCACATACCCTCTAAGCTAGTCAGGTGTCCTTGGGAGCAGCAGAAGACTGTTCCGTTACTGATGTTGAAGTAAGATTGTTATTTATTATTATTGTTATTTATTAAATTTGTATCTGAAGATCATAGGGCAGTTTACAGTATAAATACACAATACATAACATAACATGGAGAGCTTCAGATGGTGTTTGCAAGGTCCAGTTTGGCTTCTGTACATGGAAAGAGGAGGGCATTTTGTCCTTTGCCTCAGACAGCAACATGTCTTGGGCTGGCCCCGGCCATTTAGGCACCAGGTGAAAACGTTGCCCTTTAACCAGGCCTTTGGCTGATTGACATGTAACACCCTTTAAAATGTGTTCTGGAAGGAGGGATTATTGGATTATTGCAGAAACATTATTATTATCATCTCTCCATTCACTCAACTTTGAAATAGTCACATTTACTAAGGTGAATAATGACAAACACACACCCAAAAAAATAAGGGCTGCACACAGGACCCTGCAGATTATAAAGCTTGCCATATATTAGCCTATATTGACCCAAGTGCCTTGAGCTGAATAAACTGATTAACAGCACAATCCTAACCACGCCTACTCTTGAATTCAGTGGAGCTTATTTCCAAGTAAGTGGGTTTAGAATTTGGTGCAACAGGGCAATCCTAATACTGCTTAGTCAAAAGTAAACTCCACTCACTTCAATGAGGTGTACAGCAAAGTAAATGTGCAGAGGGTTACATCCTAAATTGCCTAGGTATACAAATCAAATCCGTTTATTGTGAGGACCATGCCTGTACACAAACATTAACACAACAATAGTTAAAAACATATTAAAATTCGTTACATACTACGCCAACAAAACCTTCATCCCACAAAATAGAAAGAGAGGGAAAACGAGCAACGAGTTAAACAGACGATGAAGGGGTCTTTACATTGTCATCCATAAGTCTTTCCCTGGCTTTCATGGCCTTCATCACAAAAACCGCTACCACATGGGTAATACGTGGGTTTGCATCAACTAACAAAAATTTTACTCTATCTTCAGGATTGGTTATAGAGTTGGGTATAATTTGCAGCAATGCGTCTCTAAAGCCCGAGTAGATGGGGCAATAGAGGAGGTAATGTGTAAGATCCTCTTTAATTTTCATAAGGCAAGGGCATAAACGATGTTCTACTGGGGTTTTTGTGAATCTACCGGTCAGGTATGCAGTTGGCAGTGTTTGAAACCGTGCCATAGTGAAAGCTCTCCGAAGGGTGGGATCAGTGATCTCCACCAAGTAGTTGGCACAGATTTTGACTGCTTTTACTCGGGAAACCAGTAGGAAAACCCAGAGTTTTTATCTTTGTGGAGTCCAAAAAGGCGTCTTTTTCAAAGATCCATTCCCGAACTTTATCAGGGCTCCACAATTTAAGGATATTAAACTCAGGTAGATTATATCTGGATAGGATATCTAGTAGGTTTTTATGCCAAGTAGTATTATTTTGTAATGATACAAAAGCTTGTTTGGCCAATAAGGTGTTCGGGGCATCTGTGAGGTTGGTGAAAAGCGCAGGAATCTTAAGTGGGCCCTGGCAGACACAGAAGGTAATCCTACTTCCACTCTTAGGAGAGCTGCCGGAGTACTCTGAGGGAGGCCTAGAATTCTTCTGAGGTAAAAATTTTGGAAGATTTCAAGCCGTTCTAACAGCTTCTGATTCCATCCCCAGAGTTCTACTCCATATAGCATCTGGGGAATCACTTTTCCAACAAAAGCTTTTAATGCCGGGATCACCAGTTGCCCTCCCCTCGAATAAAAAAGCTGAGCAGAGCACCGATTGTCCTACGTGTTAGAAGGGCTACAGTCTTGAAGTGGGCAAGCCAGCTAGATGTAGCTTGGAAAGTGATACCAAGATATTTAAAAAAAAGACACTGTTCAATTTTGTGTTCATCTAAAGACCATCTAAATGTGTGGCGAGCTCTAGTAAATACCACAATTTTTGTTTTGTCATAATTTATCTTTAGAGAGTTTTGGAAACAATAAGCTGCGAGCCCCTCCAGCATGCTATGTAGGCCCCTTCGAGTAAGTGCCATGACAGCCATGTCATCAGCATATAGTAATATGTTCAGGTGTTTGCCTTCCAGGGCAGGAGCTGATGACTTATACTTTGCCATATGTTGAACAATGTCATTTATATAGAAATTAAAGAGGAACGGCGCTAGCAAACAGCCCTGTTTAACCCCTTTCCCCAGTGGCAGTGGGTCAGTATAGTTGCCTGACATCCCAGTTCTGATTTTAACTGTGGTGTCTGAATGTAACTCTCTAAGTATTTTGAGAAGTCGTCTATCAATATCTGTTTCATATAATTTTTGCCATAATTTGTCCCTACAGATTGAATCAAAAGCGGATGTGAGATCTACGAAAGCCACAAAAAGTTTGCTCTTATGTACCTTTGTATACTTATCTATCATTGTCTGTAGTACCAGACAATGGCCTGTTGTACTATGGCCCTTTCTAAACCCTGCCTGTTCCGGATTAAGCAGGTTAGAGTGGTCAGCCCAGTCAACCAGTTTATTTAGCAGGTAGCGAGTGTAAAGTTTATACACAATGTCCAGGAGACTTATGGGGCGATAGTTTGAGGGATCTTGGGGGTCTCCTTCTTATAGATGGGGGCTACCAGGCTCAGTTTCCAGTTTTCTGGGATTTTGCATATATCATTTATTACCGTAAAAGTTGGGCCAAAATAGCAGCCCACCACTGGGCATTTAGTTTAAACACCTCAGGAGGGATCATATCCTCACCGGGAGCTTTGCCATTCTTGAGTGTTTTAATTAGCTGTAAACATTCTGATTCGGTAACAGGATCCCAGCCCATTAATAGATCGTTTTTAAGAGGAGGAAACTGGCTCGGTTTAGCAATGTTTGGAGCTGTATATAGCCGGGAAAAGTGTTGGTACCATAAGTTAGATGAGATACTGTTGGTTACAATTTTCCCTTTGGGTGAGACTCCTGGGCAATTATTTCCCAGAACTTTTTGTCATCCCGCAATTTGATCGCTTTGTCAAGTGCCTCCCATTGTTCCTTTCTGTAGAGGGATTTCTTAAATTTTAGAGTATTTTTATAATGAGAACGCCACCTGTGCAGGTTTTCCAATGAGGACAGGGTCCCTTCCTGTTTTACCTTATTTTGTAATTTCCTGAGCAAAGATCTTAGATTCCTACAGTCTTTGTCGAACCAGGCCCTCGAGTTGTTATGTTTTTTGAGAGGGTTGGAATTCGTGAGTAGTGGGAAGAGCGACTCTGAGACCTGCTGAAATGTTGAAAAGGGGTCAGAAATAGATGAGATACACTGGTCTCTCAAGGCCAGTAAGTCTGATGAGTGCAGGTGTAATTTGATTTTAGATTCCAGGTCGCTGTTCCATTTACGCCTACGAAGGGCCAGAGTTGGAGGTGGGTCTGCACAGTGATTGCGGTATTGCGGATCCTCCACACCACGGGGAATTAGTGAAATTGATATAGGAAGATGATCACTCTCAATTCTATTGAAAATCCTGAAGCCCTGTGACCTCTCCAAGAGTTTTGGGGAGACCAGGATATAATCAATAACGCTCGCACCTCTAGGTCCAAGAAAAGAAAAGAAACCCCCTGACCTATCCTTATGGGTACCATGCAAGTTATACAAATTATGTTTGAAGGCAGTCTCCATTAATGTAATGCCTGCCTTATTCAAGACCTTATCGTCTGAGGACCAGGGAATAAACCAATCTGCCTCTGGCAGGAACTGAGATTTAGAGCAGTACGTGTTAATGTCATTTCCTATCCTGGCGTTGAAATCACCTGCCAGCAGGATATCCATGCCAGGGAATTCTAGTTCAGCCTTCTCCAAACATAGCTCTAAATCTTCCCAGAGTTGTGACGACTGGGGAGGGGTGCCTATGGGAGGGATATATATATTAAAGCAAAGGAAATCTCCTCCTTCACTGCTAGAAATAAGTGAGATTTGTAAGTTGTTACTCTTCACCCACTGCTGTTGCCGGGCCTTGCATTTTAGCTTGGTAGAAACAAAAGTGACTAAACCACCACTAGGTCGGCCTCGGGATTTTGGTTTTATCGCAGGGGTAGCAAAGGCTTCGTATCCCTGTAAAGAGGGGACATGGAGATCTAGACACCATGTCTCCTGTAGACATAAAATCTGAAATTTTGTAAGGAAATCCAGAAGGTCGACGTCACCCTGCTTAGATAGCCATCCCGCCACATTCCAGGATAGAATGTGGAAATAGGGTGATGGTGGAAATAGTGGTAGTCAATCTCTTTTCCGATGGTTTGAGGCTCCTGAGCTGGGCTCCTCCTCTATCTGCCCTGCTTGGTGGTTCCGGGTTTGAGGTCGCTGGTCCCTAGATAGGTGTGGTAACTTTAACTGGGGGGCTAATAGGTTGATTTGGCCCAGAGGATCTTCGATGACACCGTTACAAATATCATGTTGTTCAGCTGATGTATCATGATGTTCAGCTGGTTTTCGCAGAGCAAGGATTTTGCCGACCCGTATAGGCTGTATAGATAGCAGGTCGACAACTGCATCTTGCGTCGGTACTGCAATGAGGTGTACAGCAAAGTAAATGTGCAGAGGGTTACATCCTAAATTGCCTAGGTATACTGTAAATATATGGGCAAGATCTGGCCAGCATTAAACATTTTAAAATCCCATTGATTTCGTGGGGGAAATGTTTAGCATTCCCATTGAAATAAATGGCATATAAAAGGCCTTAATTTTTATATCCCACTGATCTGAAAGGGGAAATGAAGCAGCTGCTGAATACTGGAACACTTGGCAGCTTTGAAATGCTCTGATCCAAAGGGCTTGTTTTTATTTGACAAATGACTTTAAAAGCTGCCTTACTGTAAATCCAAGACCAGGAGGAGAATAATTGCATGGTGGGAAGAATGGATCCCAGGCTGTGAAGCATCATGGCCAATGTACCAAGATGGCCCTGAGCAGATTTACAAGGAGGCAGCCTTCAAGCTGCAACTAAAACTGTCCATCTTCGCTGCCTGAGCAAAACAACTGCAAGACAAACTTGTGCAGGTTGTGCGGCTGCCTTGGGGGTGGGGAAGCCTGATCTACATCCCATTTCACATCTCACCAACTGTGCTGACTCAAAGTGGGAGAATTTCCTCGGAGGCTGCAGGCACAGCTACAGCATCTCAACTTAGCAAAGTCTCTTGATCGGTCAAAGAGATGCCATGCATTGCGACTTGCTGTTATTTTTATTAATTATAGTTAAGTAATTATTTACTGTAGTTGTTAAGAGTAAACTGTTTAATTATTATTTGCTGATACTTAATTTTACTGTTTATCGTTATATTCTAACGGATTATTGATTTATTTGATATGTTGTTTATTTTAAAGTTATATTTTTATTATGACTTTTTTATTGGATCAGATTATCAGGTGTGTGATCTTTTCTGTCTTTCTTGTTGTTTCTTCAGCTTGTAAACTGCCTTGTGTATAGTAATATAGAAAACCGGTATGCAAATTAAAAGTAAAATGAAACGAAATGTTTCCTTAAGCTTAAAATTGTCATCTTTTCCCAAAGCCTCAGTAGGCTGACAATAGCACAGGCCAGGTTATTTATTTATTTTTTAAAACATTATGCCCTGCTTTTCACATGTGTCTGAAAGTAGCTTGCAAAGAAGAAGAATATAGAACACATTATGTACAAAATTTAAAACATCAGGAAATGAGAACATCCGTAGTGCAAAGACATCCGGAGGGGGGGATGTTTTGATTTAATGTCTGAAACTTTGGAGGGATAGTGCCTGCCTGGTTTCTACTTGGCGGGGTTTCCAGTCTACAAAGCAAATGCATTTAACTGAGCAGATATTGGCTGAGGATGGACAAAGGAATTGGGGTTCAATTCTGTCCTCCTGGGGAGGTGGCTGGATGTCAGCTAAGCTTTTACGTACTCCTATCTTCTACAAGAAGAGTGGAAGGGACTGGCAGCTCTAACCCAGTCAAGGTGAAACAAACATAATTTGCAGGAGGTTTCCTTATCCCACTCTGTTGCATTTATAGAATGGTGGAAGTCCATATTTATTTATTTAAGAATTTTATACAGTACTTCACTTTCCATTATGTATTTTTTATTATTTTTCTGTAAGCTGCTTTGAGACAAAGATTAAAACATCATAAAATAGAAAAATTACAGCAATATCCACAGTGAAAGGGCCTTCATAGATATGGCAAGCAGCTTCTGAAAAGCTCTGCTAACTTGAGATGCTCTAGCTGTGCTTGCAACAGCCCAGGAAGCCCACTTGCTTTGACTCAGCACAGTTGGCGAGAACATACACACCACAGCTAGCAGCCACCGAGTGCCTCATCTTCCGTGGATGTGTCTAAGCCCCTTTTAAAGCCCCATCCACGTTGGTGGCCACCACCACCTTTTGTGGGAACATCTTCCACAGTTTAAGTTCACATTTCTCTTTGCCCTGGATCTTCCAACATTCAACTTCATGGGATGGCCCTGAGTTCTAGAATTATGAGAGATGACATAACATCAAAGAATAATGTCAGAAGATTATGCACAGCTGAAGGACCGCTGCAGCAGCCCTGTAAATAGCTGTAGCACTGCTGGCCAAACTCAAGAACAACGACCAAGCTTTGCTGTTGCATCTGTAACAGCAGTAGAACTTGGGCCTTTTTCTCTGGGTAGTTTGGAAGACCAGGCTTCCATTAAAGCAGTGGAATGGCTTTCCTAAAAAGCGAGCAAGGGGCTCCTTTCTCACATACACTAACAGGGCTGGAGAGCTTTGAAATGAAAGCCCAGGCAGGCCTGTGCACAAATCTTCCAGGAACCCATCGCTCCGGCAACGCCTGAGTGCCCCAAGGAAGGGGGAGGCCAGTTCCCGCCAGGGAGCAGGCGCAGCGTGATTTACCACAGCTTCTGCTTCAAGTGGTAGTCAGAGCGAGTTCAGGCATGGTTCATCATTATTATTTCATCAATTAAATGCACGATGCTCAGCTGGCGTCAGTGAAGTGGGCCATCACAGATGCATCCAAATCCAGGTCAAAGGAGGTCTTTGTTCTTCTGCACAAAATACAACGAAAACCCCCTCTGTGGCATGTGATGCTTCAGACTAGGGGAAAACAGAAACAAGGGGATAAAAGGAGCTCTTAGGATGTAGAATTTGACCAGGGACAGCTTACTGGATCCAAGGACAGCTCTGTCATGAGGAAAGTGAACTTTGGTCAAACTTCAGCGAAAGATCCCAAGCCACTTGAATAATGAAAATAACCCCAGATATCCTAGTCATCTTTTTCCCCAGGCTCCTAAAATGTCCTTGTTTGTGATGAGTATGAAGAGAAAGAATACATGTAGCTCAGAAGGTTTTGCAGGCCGTTCAATTGATTTGGGGTTTTGTGTACAGCAGCTAACAGACCATTGGAGCATCTTTCCTAAGTGGTTGCCGGCTAATGCTTAGTTGTCTCAGTGAGGGGCTAAACTTGTGCCTGAGATGTACTGCCTGCAAAGAGGGGCTCACACAACTGATTTTTCCTCTTTCAAACTAAATAAATCTGCCATTTAAAAACCTAAATGTCAGATAGAAGATCATGGTAGAACCCTTCTTCCTGGCATGGTTGTTTTGAATGTGATGGGGGGGGTTCTGTTTGTTAATTTTTGCGTTTTTGTGTTTTGTGTGAGGAGCACTCAGGCACAGGAGCCCCCCCCCCAGCCTGAAGTGGTCTAGCCCAAACAGAGGTTTAACATCTCACTAAAAACTGAGCCTCATTTACCCTTCTGTTCAACTATAAACTTACTTCAGTCAGCAATCAGCTGTCATTAATTCCCAAGGTTTGGAAAAGAAGATTAGCAGCCAATGAGAAGAAGGCATGCACAGTAAAAGGGAAAGGACCCCTTGATGGTTAAGTCTAGTTGAATTTGACTATGGGGTGCAGCGCTCACCTCCATTTTTAGGCCAAGGGAGCCGGCGTTTGCCTGCAGACAGCTTTCCGGGTCATGTGGCCAGCATGACTAAAGTGCTTCTGGTGCAATGGGACAATGTGATGGAAGCCAGACCGCAAGGAAACACTATTTACCTTCCTGCTGCAGCAGTACCTATTTATCTACTCACACTGGTGTGCACTGAACTGCTAAACTGGCAGGAACTGGGACAAAGCAGAGTGGTGCATTTTCAATCAGAAACAAAGCTGGGTTAAAACTTAGGTCAATGATAGCTCCCATTTGAAGGAATTCATTCAAGGTATTGAGGGGTGGTGAAAACACCCATTTAACAGGACAACAGCAACTTTATATTGATGCATTACTTAATATGAGGATTGCAAGCTGTAAGGAATGAATAAATTAGAAATGGTGCTCACAATTTTTGGTCTATTAAAATGGTTCCTATGATTTATCAGGGACCAGAGATTGTTTTTTTAAAAAAACTTTTTTAATACAAGAACTTATGAATTCTTAGTAAGTAGAAAGGGCTTTCAAGAGGAAATGCTCCTTCCGATATGGTTTCTGCCGGCTGTGACACATGTTTGCATAATCTAAAAACAAAGAACAGAGCTTTATTCATTGCACGCTCCAAGAGCATCTCTGCAGAGATGTACATCTATATTATGAACAAAAATTCTTAATACAATTTAGGCTTTTTAACGTTACTTCACTTTTTTTTTACTCTTTTACATTACTTTACTTAAATGAAGGCAAATTTGACTACGACATCTACTTTGGAGAGTGATTTCTACATGCAAAGGATGCTAAGGAACACAAGACATGCTTCAAAGTGAGAGGAAGACTGCTAAGTGTGTTCACTGGTTGGGAACAGCAGCCTCTTTCTGTGTAACTGGATGGATAAGCTAATATAAGGGGTGAACAAATGATCAGCTCTGTTGCCCTTTCAAATACATCATGATTGATTGTGATTATTTGAGACACTAGATAAATTAATACAGAGTTTTCAAAAACGTTCAATATGTTTTGCTGCACTGAATGTTTCTAGATGTCACACTGTAGTTTTGTACTTAGTACCTTCTACTGTGGATGTTTTCATTTGTTCTAAATCGTTATATCTCTTGCTTTATATTGATTGTAGGGACATCTAGAATTATTATTATTTTACACTGCATATCTACTGATGAATAACTATTATTAATCTCATTGTTGGCTAGCGAAACTGGATGATATGTTATACACAATGTTGCAGCAACATATTTAGCTCCTCCCTTTGCAAAGTGCATTGTACAGGAACTTAGCCATGCCCAGACATCATGGATGTGCCATGCTTATCTGCCCCCGTCCTAGCTGCAGAGCCAATGGTGCAAAGTGAAGGCAGAATAATGCAGAGCACTATGAGCTCAAGGTGCGAGGTAAGCTTTTGTTTTGTATTACAGAAGCATAAGCTAAAGACATGTTTGCCTTTTTTGGTACCAATCAAGCATTTAAGATGCATCTGTTGTATCTTTCATAGTTTTAACTTGCAAAGTGTCAGGAAATGGAGCAATTTTCACATCACAATCAGTGATCCAGTAAGATGAAGTAGCCAAAAAGTTTTATTATGGGACTAAAAAGTTGGATCACATGGCATCACCAGAGAACGAGAAGCAACTAATCATATCCGGAATCAAAAATAGCTGCCTGCTACTACTAAGAACCGTATGTACTTTATGCAAAAAGCTAAAAAAATAATGCATATAGACAAACACAACCCATCTGTAGATAAAAGCTATGTTCTGTCACACTGAAGGAGGTAAGGTAAAAGGAGGACCAGGAAACAGAACCCAAAACTGGACAATACAGACAGGCTGGACCTAACGGCTGGAGTCACTATAGTGTACGAAGTAGATTTATCCCTGACCTCACTGGTGTCCCTTTTATGTTCTCCCTTCTCTGAAGCCTGTGGGGATCTCTAGCAGAATTCTCAGCATCCTCACCAAATTATATGCTTTAAAGAGACACTTATTCAGAATTGATTGTAAAGAGGACATAATCAAATAGCAGGGAAATAAGCTCTGGCCATTGCTTCCAAACCTAACATAGAGCATCAGTGGGCAGAGTAATTCATTCCTCTCCTGACCAAAAGTTACTTACTAGAATTCATACACAGCCAAGCAAAAAGGGATGTACTGTATTTGCTCCATGATGTGTCTCTAAAGGGTGAAAGGTAAGGAAAGGAAAGAGGAAAGGAAACAAAGGCACTTTGGGGGTTGCATTTTTGGTGGAAAGAAGTCCAAACTACTTACTGGTTACACCAGTGTGGTGTAGTGGTTAAGAGCGGTAGTCTCGTAATCTGGGGAACCGGGTTTGATTCCCCGCTCCTCCACATGCAGCTGCTGGGTGACCTTGGGCCAGTCACACTTCTCTGAAGTCTCTCAGCCCCACTCACCTCACAGAGTGTTTGTTGTGGGGGAGGAAGGGAAAGGAGAATGTGAGCCGCTTTGAGACTCCTGAAGGGGAGTGAAAGGCGGGATATCAAATCCAAACTCCTCTTCTTCTTCTTCTTCCAAACATTTTCGATAGTGTGAAAAATACCTCCTGTTGTTGGTGATTTTATGGCACTCCTTGCAAAAACATTAACTTATTCACCTAGATGGGCCGCATTTGGTATTGCTCATAATTGCCACAGTGACAGATCTGGCCACATAATGCAAACATAGCATCCCATTCACTGCATAGCTCCTTTTGGGTGAGATCACCTATAAGACTAATCTTCAAAGGGCAAAGAAACATGAGCCGGAAGGAAAGAACTGTGCAAAGCATCAGCAATTGCAGGGAGGGGTGTGTGGATAGAGATGACAAATATTTGAAAAAGTTCATTATTGCAGGGGAGAAATCACTCCAAAGAAACTGTTAATTTCTCTTAGAAAACAGAAAGTGGAGAATATCTAAGATAGCTCTTTCTCACTCTTACTCACTTTTTGTTTGGCAGACACTTCCATATATTATGTATATATACTGTTTATCCAATCAGAAAACAGATAGTATGACTTAGAGCCAGGGTTTAATTCACCGTTGGGTAAAAATCCTCATATTTCATAAGAATACGTTTCATACCACATTTCATAAGATTAAAGAACTTGTGGGGGGGGATCTGTCTGGTGCCACCTCCTGTCCCTTGAGCACGCAACACCTCCAAATAAATAGCTGTCTTACTGACAAGAGTTACGTAGCACTGCTGAAAAAAGGCAGCAAAAAGATAGAATAAGATAGAAATAGATAGTTATTTCAAAAGGCATTCCCTCCACCTTTTCAAGCCTATTAACTATTCCCAATTTGCTAACTGCAGCCTTCATGCAACAAATTACTGAATCCTACAAAAGAGGTAATATTAAGTCACTGACAATGTTATGACCGGCTACTGGTGACCAGTATGCATGTGTTTCAAAAAAGATGTGGAAAAAATACTCAAAATCTCAGCAGCAATGAGTTCACATGATCAAAGAGTTCACATGAGTTCTTTTATGAAGGACAGTCCCATCATGTTTATTCATCACACTGGAAATAGTTGTTCCCAGTTCCTTTACAGGAGGAGAAAATGTACCGCACGTATTTCTCTGACCAATTCTACATGACGATGCAGTTGGTCTTTAGGGACTTGGTACAATGACCCTAAAGTGATCATATGAATTATATTTCAGAGCTGGCTGCACTTGAAAAGAGGAGGGAGGGGTTCAGGGCTGCTGCCTTTGCTTTTCAGTTGGCACGGATGTCCTTTTAGAATTCAAATAAGGACCGAAGGACAAAGTACACTCTGCACTTGTATCACCAATGAGCCCAGCTCTTAGTGTTCCCTTCTCAGGAGGTGCTGTCATGACACCTGCTAAAAGAGGTGTCTGGTGGCAGAGCTGCTATCAAATATTCAGGAAACAAACGTTATGTTGAAATATTAACTCACAGAAATGATGTCTGCTTTTTAAAAAATGAAGGATCCAAACTAAAATCCATTAACAAAGTTAACGGGAATCCACATTTCAGACCCTCTCCCTCTACCCATATTTAATAACTGCAATATTTATTTTCTCACCATATGATACAATCTCTGGTGTGTATTGGGTCTGGTGTGTACACTGGGTCAAGTACCTATTATTTACTGTGGAAGGATGTATGGATCCAGAACTGGCCTCCATAGTCACTTATAGACTCACTGTTAAGACCGTGTTCATGGAAGACAATCTTACTCAGCTACGAGTGATCACAAAAGAAGAAGAAAGACCAGCTTTATGGCTTTGGAACCAAATCTAACAGCTTTGCAAGCACCTGGCATAATCCCTTGGGGTTGGGGAAGGAAGGTAGGTGGTACTTAAATCTTGTTTAAATCCATGGGTTCAAAGGCTCATTCAGACATTCAAATTAACACTTATTTCCTCATCATTTTTTTGTTCAGCATTTGGTGACCAGCAGCAGAAGATGTGAACTGATGTTGGGTGTTATAAAAGTTCTCCTCTCTGTGATATTAGTTCTGTGGTGGCTTTTTCACATTTGCAGTCGTCACTTGATGTTGCAGCCACATAGTGAACCCAGAGGTGGAATTCTAACCCATAACCCTCACAGATGATATGAAGTATTTAACATATTTTATCAAACTGTATCTCCCCAGTGACCATTAAGGTGACCTAAACAAGCATGTGATATAAAAACTGAGGTGCTTGAAAGCCTCCTCTATTCTATTTAATTGTGTGATTAAAATAAAACATACTCTGAAAGTTATTTTTCCAAATTCTTATATATGTTTTCTGTTGCCCAACAGAAGTAAAAGTTTAAATTCAAGATAATAACTAGGAACATTCTAGATAGGACCTCTGCCCCAATTCCCCTCTTTAGAAATAGAAAATCATGTGGATTTCAATGGAATGTATGAGTTAGCATTCTGAGATATGAAATTGTGAAAAACAGCAGTACAGTGGTACCTCTGGTTGTGAACGGGATCCGTTCCAGAGCCCCATTCGCAACATGAGCAGAACACATGACGTCATTCTGAGCATCTGCGTGAGCGGCGAAACCCGGAAGTAACCCTTTCTGGTCTTCCGGGTAGCCGCGGGACGCAACCTGAAAAGATTTAACCTGAAGCAAACATAACAAGAGGTATGACTGTATTAGGGGATTAGATTTGCAGAGACGTGCTAAACAATAAACAGGACTGTGTTATCTCAACTTTAGGGTTGCAATATTTCAAACAGTGGAAAAAGTTGTTGAGAGTTTTTGTGAGATTTTTGGGCAAAATTGACCAAACACACACACACACACACACACACACCATGTTTTGGTGCTATTTTGATGGGGAAACGGCAGAAACGGCACTGCTTCCATGGGCTGCCATACGTCCAGATTTTCCAAAACATTTTTTTTTTCTAATTTCTGCCCAGACACTGCTGCTGACTGTAATATTCCGGACACATATGGCAACCCTATCAACTTAAAAGTGTGTTATTTCCATGTGGTTGAGAGTTGTGCATGATTAAGGCTGCAATCCCTCAGAGTATGCATAACTGAAAATAGTGGGACTTACTGCTACATAAAGTAAGTACAGGATTAATTCACATCTCCCAAAGTTTTTACTAGAGTTTGCCAGCTATCTAGATGCACAGAAGCAGCTTGTTTGCACCAAAGCTTGCCTACCCACCATGATGCCCTGGTCTTATGTTACCAGCAGGGCCATGGAGTCGACTGTGGTGCAGTTGGCTGTCACACTGCTTTTGTCACCCTGAAGGTTCCGTGGTGCAATGTTTGAATGGCTAATTTCAGAATGTGGCAGTGGTGGATTATTGCTCTACCCTTTGCCAGTTATGCTGCAGGGATCTACGGAACTCTTAATTTATTCCCCATGCAGTCAGACAATTCCATGAAAGCACTGGGAGATGGAGACTCCGAAGGTGGAGACTGAGGTTCCATCAAAATGGGGGTGACATCCAGCACTGTGCTTTTCATTCAAGCCAGGTGAAGTAGTGAGTGTTCTGAATCAGTCCCTGGGTGCGGTAAAGGACCGGATAAAGATCAGGATGTCTCACTCCAGACAAGATGGAAACACTGTTAGTGGGAGAGGAATAGTTTCATTGGGGGCTGTATTCCACTTAAATATCAGGCTCGTCGTTTGGGTGTGCTCTTGGGTGTAGTGCTGTCATTGGAGGCCCAGTCAGCTTTGCTGGCTCGGGGCACCTTTGGTCAGCTTAGGCCAAAATACTAGCTATGACCCTCTCTAGACAGAGATAGCCTTGCTACAATTATTCATGCTCTCACAACCTTTCGTTTAGATTACTGCAATGTTTTAGATGCCAGGGCTACCTTTGAAAATAAAAATTGGTGTAATGTGTTACATGCGGGGCTGTCTTTAAAAATGGCCCAGAAACGTTAAATTAGTCCAGAATAGGACAACGTGATTTATTTCTTTTTAGCAAGGATGCCCAGTACACTTATGGTACACCACTGATTTGGCATCTGTATTGGAGTTCAGCTCAACCTTGAAAACCCTAAGTGACTTAGAGCTAGGGAACATGAAAGATTGTCTCCACACATATGCCTGAACCCGAAGATCATCTGCAGAGGCTCTTCTCTGGGTGCTGTCGGCAAATGAGATAAGACAGGTTGCTATTACAGTGCCCCTGTGCCAGATTGCCTTCCCTAGAGAGGTTGCCCAGTGCCTGTATTGGGGTATTCTCAGCACCACCTGAATACCTTGCTATTTTTCCAAGATATCCAGTTTTTAAAAACCAGTTTTAATCCTTTATAGACCTTTAACACTACTGTTTTATTCGTTGTTGATTTTATTCTGATGTCGCATTAACTTGTTTCTTATTCTATGTACTTATTCTATTGGTAATGAGTAGTGCTAATTTGTTGACATCCATCTGCCTCAGACACAATGGAGTGTGCCTCTGGGGGCAAATTCAAATCACTGGAAAATCGCAGCACCCACTGTGGCTACAGAGACTGGTAACTCATAACTGCTGCCTCCCGCAGTGTTTTTGCTGCATTTGCAGCACCAAAGTGACCTCCTTGGGGCACAGGCCTGGGCAGCGTGTCTGGAGGCCCTGGGCTGCCCCAATGACAAGACCCCCCTTCTTGGTCTCGCTGATGTGGTCCAAAGGAAAGCAGAGGAAGACATTTGGCACCAGCTTGGCCGCAGGACTTGCCAGAAGGAGGTTTACAAGATGCCAGTCTTAGGGATTCCACTCTGGATTTGTGCAGGATTTACTTCTCCCAAAGATGTTCCACAAGGCAGTGGATATGGATTTTTCCTTGGGGTTTACTCCAGAAGCCTTCCTCACGGATGAGCAAAGCCACAAGGCAGTGGAGGTTTAGGGTCAGAGTTTTCCTTCTCCTAGATGCCCTACCTTTCCAGGTTTATGAGTCACATCTGCCCCTTACTTTCTTCTACAGTGCAGTGTTAGTGTTAATATGCTGCAACTGAATAAAGAAAAGCTGGAAATGAGATTGAATGGCCGAGGGCAGAAATGTGGTTACTTTCCATTGCTCCAATGATGTGGTGATGCTGGAATGGGGAGTAACCAAACCACTGCCCCTGCCTACATGAGGTGCTTCCTTCCAACCTGACTTGGGGGAGGGGGTCCAGTAGAGACCTCAGATAGCTCCAACTCCACCACTGCTAACAAATAAGTCCAGCCTTTCACCTTTTGTAGAACAGGTGCAGCTATTTTCAGTTGACATGTTGAAGTGGATAATATATTTTCCTTTTTTCATGACAAAATGTCAATAAGGTTTTGTAAAATGTGCCAAATTTAAAGATTACACAATAAGGGTAGTAAAGTTAATCTGCAACACTGTCTTGGTTTCTACCTTCCACAGCCAGTCAGACCCTACTTCACCTTACAAAATGTTATACACACAAGACAAACAAATAACAGGAGTACAACCAGAGGTGCAGAACTCAACAATGACACAGGATTACTGCCTCTTTAACTAGTGCCTACTAGTGCTATTATCATTCAGAGTGCCTTATCACTCCATGCACAAATATTATGACTAGCTGAGCATCTACAGTAATCACTACTGTAACTGCGTACATATATTTGTATTTAATATTGCAGGCTGTTGCTGTCACCATGCTATAAAAACCAAAATGGCATTAATGTCAATGCTGGGGATTTGCATAATGCTGACAAGAAAAAAAAAGACTGGCATGTTTCTTCAGCGTGCAAGATAAATGTTTGGCCATGCTCAGAAGTATTCAGATAGCAGCTTCTAAATTGACTTAAGATACATACACATTCCAAGTATGATATCTGGTTTGCCTGGAACCCCTTAAAGAGGCAGTTATTAACCCAATTCTTAAAAAAACATATTTGGACCCGGCCACTATGGCCAATTATTGTCCATTCTCAAATATTCCGTTCCTGGGCAAGGTGACTGAGCAGGTGGTTGCGGAACAACTTCAGACACACCTGGAGGATGTGGACCATTTGGATCCCTTCCAATCGGGATTCAGGCCCCATCATGGGATTGAAACCACCCTGGTCGCACTGGTCGATGATCTTTGGTGGGCTAGGGACAGAGGTGAAAGCTGTTTCCTGGTCCTGCTTGATCTCTCAGTGGTTTTTGATGCCATCAACCATGGTATCCTTTGGACCATCTAGAGAAGCTGGGAGTTGGGGGCATTGTTATGCAGTGGTCCAGATCCTTCCCCCTGGGTTGTGTCCAGAAAGTAGTGGGGGTTGATTGTTTGGACCCCTGGGCACTCACTTGTTGGGTGCCTCAGGGCTCTGTCCTCTCTCTCATGCTTCTTAACTGCTGCAAGAGGTCACCAGGGGGTTGGGCTAGGTTTTCACCAATATGCGGATGATAGCTCTACCTTTCATTCAAAACAAAACCAGTGATGGTGGTGAACATCCTGTGTGGGTGACTGGATGCGTTTGGGGAGTAGATTGCAGTCAACAGTTTGAGGTTGAATCCTGACAAGACAGAAGTACTGTTTTTGGGGGACAGGGGGCGGGCAGGTGTGGGGGACTCCCTGCTGCTGGATGGAATAAGTGTGCCCCTAAAGAACCAGGCGTGCAGCCTGGGAGTCATTTTGTACTCATAACTGTCCATGGAGGCCCAGGTTGATTCTGTTTTTGGGGCAGCTGCCTACCAGCTCCATCTGGTATGCCAGCTGAGTCCTTCCTGCCTGCACACTGTCTTGCCAGAGTGGTGCATGCTCTGGTTATCTCCCGCTTGGACTATTGCAATGCACTCTATGTGGGGCTACCTATGAAGGTGACTTGGAAACTACAACCAATCCAGAATGCGGCAGCCAGACTGGTGACTGGGAGTGGCCACTGAGACCAGAGAACACCTGTCCTAAAAGATCTACATTGGCTCCCAGTACGTTTCTGAGCACAATTCAAAGTGTTGGTGCTGACCTTTATAGCCCAAAATGGCCTCGGCCCAGCATACCTAAAAGAGCATCAACTCCCGTCATTCAGCCTGGACACTGAGGTCCACCTCTGAGGGCCTTCTGGTGGTTTCCTTACTGCGAGAAGTGAGGTTACAGGAAACCAGGCAGAGGGCCTTCTCGGCAGTGGTGCCCTCCCTGTGGAAACCCTCTCCTATCAGATGTCGAGATAAAAAGCTGACTATTAGAAGTTATCTGAAAGCAGGCCTATATAGGGAAGTTTTTAATGTTTGATATCTTACTGTGTTTGGTGTTTTAATTTACTGGAGGCCACCCAGAGTGGCTGGGGCAACCAAGTCAGATGGGCAGCATATCTATTCTTCTTCTTCTTCTTCTTCTTCTTCTTCTTCTTCTTCTTCTTCTTCTTCTTCCTCACAGTGGATGTGTGTTCAAATGACTCCCAGCACACTACAGAATGCCAGTTTGGCTCTGTTCAGATAAATCCCTCACATGCTGAGGGCAGGAACAAGACTGTGCCCACCGGCCTTGTCCCTTTGGCACCCCTGTACCTATTGGCCATGTCTGCCAAGAGGCTATGTTTTGGTATACGTGTGAAAGGGGCCTATGCGTGTAAGAATGCAAGACAGCCTCTCCCAAGTTTGACCCTACAAATGTGTTGGGCTATGACTCCCTGCTGGAGCTGATGGGAGCTTTACTCCAAAACATCTGGAGGATGTCAGGTTAGGGAAGGTTGACATAGGGATTCTCTAGGTGTTCATCTGAACAGCCTTTTGTCTTTACCCAGAACCTTTGTGTGCATTGCACAAACTTCAATCCTGGTAGCCCTGAGGAAGAGGGAGCAGAGAGCCAGGTCAGATAGCACTGAGTGGAGACTCGGAAGATCATGGTAAGTTACTTCATCCCTGTAGTCCCAAACTATTAAAATTCCAGCTGCTCACAGATGATTCTCATGTAACTTTTAAAGGAGATGGATTCTCTTTAGGTTTCCACCTCTCTTAAATAGTTCATGAAAAGGAAGAATACATAAGGCTGCGTAATTAGTGAAATCATAGCCAAATAACAGTATAAGGTTTAGTCAATCAGGCAAGCAACTGAATCTGCATACATTGGCAATATGAGGAAAACAATGTTTCTAAAGGGGGGGTGGGGAATGTATTTTCATTCCAGATAAAGCATGTATGTGTTGCTATAGGCAACATCAAAGAGGCATTCCCTGTTCTCTCTCATACAACTAGAAGCATCTATTTTTAAGATACTAATTGAAGTAAAAATACAGTTTTTATAAGCACTTGCCTGAAGCACAAGATACTTCACTGCCTGAGGTGAAAGACAAGTTACCTGCCCCCAACTGCAAATACAAAAACTTAGCAGAGTAGACTGGGATAGTGTCCTTCACCATACCTGAAAATTGCAGACCAGCTATGGGGACTCATGGCAGGCTGCACAGCTCACACTGCCTGTCCTCCCATGACTACCAGCCCCTCAGCATCTGCTACCTGAGGCAGCTACCTCTCTCTGCCTAATGGCAGGGCTGGCCACTTTACATTGTTTTTTGTTCAATTTTTTTGTTCAAAGCCTGTTGACCAATAAATTGGGGGCATCTTTTTAGTTGATCAGAATGTTTTAATCAGTTAATGCAACTGGGGATTCCACTAAACATGGTAGCCTTGTAATAAAGGCACCACTGGGTCTATGTCAGATGCCAAAGCAATTTCCATAAATTTTGTGGTCCTGCCGTAAACACTGGACCCACTTTCTTCTTCAAATTAATTCCCCCTTTCCCATGAAACCTTTGCCATGCAGGAAATGCATGCTTTGAATGTAAAACATCCCAAGATCAGTCCCCAGGTAAAGCTGAGAAAGCCTGCATTTCTGGTGTATGTAGACAATACTGGGGTAGATAGATCAGAGCTCTAACTCTGTATAAAGCAGTTTTCTAAGTAATCCAATGGCATACATATAAACCCACTGAGTTTAATGGGGATTATTCCCAAGTAACACTCTTACATTTCAGGTACCGCAAAACCACACTTTTTGCTCCAAGAGATTTAATATACCTAGTCTTCTACTTGTACGAATACCCAGTAAAGCTAGATGGTGTATTCTGTCTTATTCCAAGGCATGAACCCAATTAACTGACATATTCATGTTTCATATTGCATCTGGTTCTATCAGAGGATGACTTTTCCTTCTAATGCAACAGCACTCACGGTGCTCCAGCACAGAATGGTTTATGTCAGTCAAACTCTATCAGAGACCAGTAAAACAGAGAGAGCTAACTCTACGAGATACAACTTTCCTTAATCATAAGAATGAGAATATAATTTGCATGTGATAAGGGAAACAGATTTTGATAATGAACATATATTAATATAAATGTATACCAATGCCAGCTCTCAAAATTACACCATGTTCTAGTGCAGCAGTAGGAACCCCAAGCCTGTGGATTGAATGTGGACCTCCAAACTTTTCTATCTGGCCCTCAGGACTGTCCCCAATCCACATACTCTTCCCAAGTCACAACATTCGTCGGTTCTGCTCCATATTCTTCTCACGTGCTTTATGCTTCACTGAACTGTAATAATGCCTCTTGCGTGCTTGCATGGATGCTAGTGTGTGTGTGTGTGTGTGTGTGTGTGTGTGTAAACACCTATGGCATTTGTGACCAAAAAAGAAGCATAAAATGGTAGGAAATGGTACCATTAAAAAATGGTAGGAAGCTACCGTATTTTTCGCTCTATAACACGCACCTGACCATAACACGCACATAGTTTTTAGAGGAGGAAAACAAGAAAAAAAAATTCTGAATGAAACAGTGGATGTATCATTTTTGTGCTTCATGCTGTGGCCACAGACATGTGATTTGACAGTGAGTTTGTGGTAGCCCAATGCAAAAATCCTGAGAATCCATGTGGATCTGTGCTTTATAACCACGTTTTTGCACCATTGTGGCCCCAGGCAACAGTGGGTGCGCGATTTATTTGGTGCAGGCTGTAGCCATGGACATGCTATGTGATCTGTTGGTGAATTTGGGGTGACCCAATGCAAAGATCCTGAGGATCCATGTGGATCGTTGCCAGTCTGGTTGCCAGTTGGCTCCAGGGACCACACATTCACTCAATAACACGCACAGACAATTTCCCCTTACTTTTTAGGAGAAAAAATGTGAGTGTTATAGAGAGAAAAATACGGTAATCAGATGATGGGATAGAGCTGTTGCTATCTGAGATCAACCAGATAGTGCAACTATGTAAAGCCCCTATCCAAATGATGTTCTTTGAACACCCTCCTTTGCTTCTAAGTGAGCGACTGCTATTAATTCTATCAGAGAAAACAGTGTTGCTTTTGGGGACACTGTTGCAGTGAGGGAAAACCTGCCATCCATCCCTGATTGGGAGCTCAGCCTTCACCAGCAAACAACCTCTCAAGAGGGTACAAAGTGTTGCTTCTGAACACAGAGTTGCACTGCATTTTCCAGGGGACCTTGGAATACACAAGATCTACTAAATAGCTCGTTACTGTATGAGCACCAGCACATGAGGTGGAAAATAAAAACAAAAGCAATAAAACCAAGACTGTTGCAATGTAAAATGAAATGCCGAAACAACTACAACAGCCGCACACAATAAATAGTTGGTCAACACCCTCGGAAGGTCCCTTGATACAATAATGACTGGCAGAAAGGATACTGAGAGATTGGTAGGTGGGAAAGTTGTTCTAAAGAGAAAACTCTGAACCAGGGGTTTGGCTGGGCTACAACTTCCATCATCCCTGACTACTGACTATGCGACTGGAGTCTTACAGCATCTGGAGTGCTACAGGTTCCCCACTTCTGCTGTAAACCATCCAACACTTCATTGCTGTCAAGTGTCCCTTATTTGAAGGGACAGTCCCTTATTCCAGCGCCATGTCCCGCTGCTGTCCCTTATTGATAGATGTCCCTTAAATGTCCCTTAAATGATGTCCCTTAAATTTCAAAGGAAGCAGCTCCTCTCCCTCCCTCCCTGCCGGCCAGGGAGTAGGGAGGCTCCAACTGTGTTGCTTGGCTGCGTTGCTCACCCAATAAGAAGTCTAAGAACGACTGGGGGGTGGAGCTTGCACTTCTTGTGTGTGGCTAGTTAATGCAAGCTGATGGGGTTTTTGAATGCTGGGCACCATTTTGTTGCACGTGCTGCTGCAAACTTTGCAGTGCAAAGCCAGGCCGGGGAGCCATTTTAAGTTGAGGCTGCATAAGCCTTCTGGTGCATGTGATTCAGATTCTATTCAGTTGAACCTCTGGTTGCAAAGTTGGTTGGACAGTGTTCTCGAAGCTACCAGCATGAGTTTGACCAGACTGCAGGAGGACAGGAAGACTGGAGTGCCTGGAACAGGTGAGGCTGCAGGTCCCTTATTTTGGCTGCTGGTCCCTTATTTTGGCTGCTGGTCCCTTATTTTCAAGGCTGCTGGTCCCTTATTTTCAAGGCTGCTGGTCCCTTATTTTCAAATCTGTAAGTTGACAGCTATGCAACACTTCACAGATGAAAACAGGAACACTACTGCACACATGTGGACCTCTTGCAGCACGCACCACCCTCTGCACAATTACATACTTCTGGAGGCTCTTTTCTGCCTCCTGAACTTAGGATGTTAATTTTATTTTTTATCAATCCAGCATGACCAGCAGTCAGGGATGGTGAGAGCTTTAGTCCAGCAACATCTAACAGGCCCCATAATGGACAGTCCTGCCTTACTGGGTCCCATTAGGAAGTGAGGCTGGCAGTAAGTGGTGGAGAAAGTTTTGCACTGCTTCTCATGGTCTGCACTTCCTATAATGACTTGGGAAGTGAGACAATGCAATGTGACATGGCATCACTCTCACGTCATTTGAGAAAGTGTGATGGGTAGGAAGGTGCAGAGAGAGCTTTGCAGCACTGTAAGTGGTGCAGGAGGCTTAAAAAAGTTAAATAAGCAAATTTGGGGGGGACAGAAAACCCTTAACCATCTCCTAAATTTAAATAAGGTACAATGAAACTCCCTACTGAAAATTTTGGAGAAATCTCTCCCCCTGCCAATGAACTGTTGGGCAAGTTTCATTCAAATTCCACTCAACAACGAAGGGTAAAAAAATAAATCCTTTTTTTATTCTTGGTGCAAATCAAATTAAAACGGGAAGCTCATGGCCTCCCTAGACCATCTGCCCTTAATGAAATCAACCCATGATCCCAAATTTGTTTGTTTGGATCTAAATGGGACCTACTTCTGAATGTTCAGAATTCCAACTTCATCATCATTGTTCATTACAATTTTTAAGAAACTCTGCATAATTTATGTACAAATAAATGAAATATGTATGTCAAGTCATGCACTGTACATTTTGAAGAAACCTCCAAACGTGTCTGACTTGTATAATTCAAGCATTCAGCATATCTATCTCTAGACAGTTCAGACACCAGACAGGTCTATATTAATGCACATCAATTCAGTTTATTCTGAAAGGCTGGTAATAAGATTATTTTTCACAAACCGAACACAGATAGACAAAATTGTTTTATTCTTGAAGAATAGTATGATTTTCAAATACATTTTTCTCTCTCTTCCCAAACCCTTAATGTGTTTATAGTTCAGAGTTAAAACCAAAAGGGATTCACCCTTTAGAAATGGAAGACTATGAGTGTGGCATGAGAAATGTACCCAGGGTTTAATATATCAGGAAGATACAAAGTCATCAATAGATTTGCTCTACAGCAACCCTAATGATTGCCAGAAGGCAACATAGGTTGGAAAAATTAAATATTGTTATCTCCAATATGAGAAGTGACTTTTTGAAAGAATGGGCATTTCATAGCTCCAGCTGCCTCCATTTAACAGCAACAACCCTGATTTTCTTATACATGTGCCTGACAAATCACTGGATATCTAATAGTGGATCTCTCTTAAAATGATTGCCACCCTACACGGTTTCTCTCTTTTTCTCTCTTCAGAGAGAATCCATAGCCCTGGTGAATTACTTACAAGATGTTATGAGCAACGAAGCTGCCGCCTGCGAGAGGAAGTTCCAAAAGTTTGACTCTTCGCTGCATGAAAAAGGACTTTCTTTTATCTGTTCCAAATCTTCCTCCATTGGAAGTCCATGAGTTTCGGTGTTATGAGAGAGGGAGAAAACCTTTCCTCCATCCACTTTCTCCATGCCTTGCATAATTTTATAAAGCATATCATGTCTTCTATCGTGTCACCTCCTGCTTGTTTTTTCTTTAAACTAACTACTATAGTCCTAAATGCTGAAAACTTTCTTCATAGGGGAGTCGCTCGCGCCCCTTTATCATTTTCCCAACTATACAATATCTACAATATCCTTTTTGTGTTGAGGTGACCAGAACTGAGCACAGTACTCCAAGTATGGAAGCACCATACAGCATTATGTTATTGGAAGTTTTATTTTCATTAATTTTCTTAATGATCCCTAGCATAGAATTCGCCTCTTTCACAGTCACCACACACTGGGTCGACATCTTCATTGAGTAATCTACTCATGACCCCAGAGTCTCGCTCCTGGTCCATCACCTCCATTTCAGACCCTATGAGTGTGTACATGAAAATAATATTTTTTGCTCCAACATGCATCACTTTCACTTGTTTACACTGAATTGCACTTGGAATTTACTTCCCTTTCACTCAGTCTGGAAAAGTCCTTTTGGAGCTCTTCACATTCTCTACTTTGTTTTAACAACCCTCAACAACTGAGTGTCATCAGCAAACCTGGCTCACTGCTCACTCCTATCTCTATGAACAAGTTAAAAAGCACAGGTCCCAATACCACTCCTTGGGGGACTCCACTTTCCATTTCTCTCTATTCAGAAAACTGTCCATTTATACCTACTTTTTGCTTCCGGCAACCTAACCAATTCCTGATCCATGAGAGGACCTCTCCTCTTATTCCTTGACTGCTTAGCATATATAGGAGTCTTTGGTGAGGTACTTTGTCAAAAGCTTTTTGAAAGTACACTATGTCTAAATTAAGCACTACCTACAAAGAATGACAGCAAACTGGAACAGCAACCCTCTTCTGAATGGTGGGATTCAGCTCCTAGAGCTGGAATGGAATTCAGCTCCTAGAAAATCGTCCTTTCTCTTACGCTATGCAAAAATGTTGGCACCACTGGGGTTATTACAAGCACACACAAAAATATCTGCTATGAAATGTTGTGAAATGTTGGAGGATATCACTCCTGTGAAATGTTGGAGGATATGACAGTTAGAACATCTGCACTTTGAACAGTTTTTACATAGGATCAAGTGTATATTAAAACTTCCTTTCCATTTTCTTCTGCTTTTATGTCCTAAAATAGCATTGGCTTAAATTTTTATTCTGACTATTTGTACTATTAGGAATGAAGTAGCTGCTTTATTCAGTGGGCTGTTCATTTTTGCACTATGGGTAATTATTTCCCACTACAACTTACTGTAAGATCTTACTTCAGTTAATTCTGCTCCCCTGGATATGTTCCTGCTACTAATCCAAGGTACGCCCTGTAGCATTTTATGGAGGTCAAGTGCTGTACAGATGCGGGAAATAGATTCCCTTTTCACTCCATGGATCTAATCCCCACCCCTCATCTGCCAACAGAAAGGCTCCAGGTAACTTCCAGTTCTATGTGCTTTGGATCAGAGCAGGTGACGCCAGGTATATCAGTGGCAGAATGGTTTAGAAGAGCCAAAGTATTTGGCTGACAATCCTCCAGGAGCCTCTTCTGGGCAAGAGGTGCAAAATGAGTGGAAGCTGTGCATTCTTGCAAAGCTTCCATTCATTCTGATTGTGTCTTCAGTCTCTACAGGGTCTACATTAGAACAATCACATATTGTGGCAGGACGTCTGCTAAACCACATTTGTTATGGAACCACCTATACATTACATACATGCATGCAACAGTCCCTCAGTAGAGGGTGGGTTGCTCACAGGCAGCCCGTCCCATTTTGCCACCTGAGGCAAAATGTCCCCCACTCCATCGCTGCCGGAATGCCCCCTCTCAGCAAACCCAGTGAGATCTTTTGGGCAGGTAAGAAGAGCAGCAATTCTGTGTGCTGCAATATCTCCCTCTCCCCAGTGAAATGGGGTGAGGCAGGTTCTGGTGGTGGCAGGCGCAATGGGATGGGCAGGGTACCACTTCTTGTGCTTCTGCCACCTGAGGTGGGTGCTCTGCGGATGCTTAATTCTTTCCCCACTTGACATTTTCTGTTGCAACTTCCCACCCCACAGCTGTTTTTCATGTGATTCAAATCCCCGTGAGAGTAACTTGGGGACAGGCACTGCAGCAGAAAAATAGCAGGTGTGGAAAGGGTTAAGCATCCACACACACACACACACACACACACACACACACACACAGACACACCACTGCTTCTTTGCTCAAAATTGTCCCTTCCTGAGACTGCTACTCTGTTTTAAAAAGGGTATGAGGGACTCTATTTCCCGAAAGCTGGTCCCACTGCTACTGTAACTGAAAATTTGTAAGTGAATGATGGCAAGGTGGGTGGGAGGAAAGTCTAGCCAAATATGAAATAAACTAAGATGCATTACGAGGGTAAAGTACCCTGTTATTTTAATACCATGTCTCAGATCAGCATCTGTCAAACGATATTGTGGTCTGAAGTAATCAGTGCAACTAATTACCTCTAATTGTAATACAGTTTCTGTCTTACTGCTAATACATTTAGACTTGCTAATCAAATCAAACCATCTCACCTTGCCATACTGCTTTCAAATAAACTTTTCAGCAAGGCTTTAAGAAGCACACTTCTAGTCTCGCTTCCCCGCCCCCCACTGCTGCCTGGGGGGGTCGTGGGCTTTCTCTGTTTATTTCACACAGTGGCAGAATTTGTAGGAAATGCCACTGCAGGTCCCACTGGGTTCCCAAATGTTTTAGTTTGACAAGCAAACCAAACAACCACACATATATATTTTTTGTAGCCCCAACATACTGAGCTGTGTGAAGAGACTGGAAAGAGAGAGAATTTTTTTTCATCTCTTATAAGAGAAGAACATGGAAAGTCCAATCAAACCAACTGGCTCAAACAGACAATGGGAAGTGATTTTCCACATGAAACCTAATAAGGCGATGGAATTTTATATAGTGGTGCCTGCCAGTTTATTTTAATAAGATTAGACAAATTTACTGAAAATCAGCTTATCAATATCAGTTTTGATAAATAAATAAATGACGGCTGAATGGAGTTCCCATTTTCATTTAAAAAACAGGTGCGTAGAGACAAAAACTAGGGCAAGGCTCTTGTCTTCAGTCACTACTTCTAGGTATTCCACAGACTTCTTGTTACACCCACCCAAACCTAAAATGACCTTCCTGCCCTTAGGCGGTGGCAACTCCAGTGGTGGAAGCATTTCTCCCTGATGTGCTACCTTTACACAGACAAATAGGTTTTGATCTTGGGAGCATGCAAACATGAATGCCTTACCTGTAGTCTTAGTTTCAGAAGAAGCTGTACCATGTGATGTTTCCAAATTTGTAGTTTGTTTTCTAGGAATGATACAGTCCACACACACAGGATTTGCAATGAAGAAACTGCTTTTGAGATTCACCCATGGTGTTTCATGCTGATCATGACAATCTGATTATGATAAAACTTAAGGAGTAGACTAACAGTGCAATCCTATCCATGTCTGATCAAACGTTAAGCCCCTTTAAGTTCAATGGAACTTATTCTCAAGTAAATGTTTAAAGCAGGGGTCAGCAAACTTTTTCAGCAGCGGGCTGGTCCACTGTCCCTCAGACCTTGTGGGGGGCTGGACTATATTTGGGGGGGGCGGGAATGAATGAATTCCTGTGCCACACAAATAACCCAGAGATGCATTTTAAAGGACATAGAAAAGGACACATTCTACTCATGTAAAAACACACTGATTCCCGGACCATCCATGGGCCAGATTGAGAAGGCAATTGGGCCAAATCCAGCCCCCGAGCCTTAGTTTGCCTACCGATGGTTTAAAGGATGGCAGCCTAAATGTCCTGAATTAATAGCTACCTTTTGTGTAACATATGACAATAAATAATAATAAATGTATTATTTATATGCCGCCCATCTGTCTGAGTTGCCCTAGCCATTCTGGGTGGCTCCCAACAAAATATTAAAAATGCAACGATAGGCAGTTCATATTCTATCATGCGTCTTTGATTTATCATAGCTAAAAATGCATATGTGAACAATATTTTTCAAAAAGAATGAAAACACTAAAAATACAGTGGTACCTCAGGTTAAGAACTTAATTCATTCTGGAGGTCCATTCTTAACCAGAAACTGTTCTTAACCTGAGGTACCACTTTAGCTAATGGGGCTTCCCGCTGCAACCACGCGATTTCTGTTCTCATCCTGAAGCAAAGTTCTTAACCCAAGGTACGATTTCTGGGTTAGCGGAGCCTGTAACCTGAAGCATATGTAACCTGAAGCGTCTGTAACCTGAAGCGTATGTAACCCAAGGTACCACTGTAAACAAAAGAGAGCTTGTGTAGTGCAGTGACTAGGAAGGGGGAACTATAAACTCCCCAGGTCAACTTTGACCTCAGCCATAAGCTTCCTAGGTAGCCTTAGTCAAAGGACTATTCTTTCAGCCTCAGTCACCCATTTGCACAATGGGCAAAATAGTACTAGCTGACTACAGTGGCTGAGATAATGTATACAGAATGCTTTGAACATGTACTAGATACATGTTTTATTGATTCAATCAATTGAGCACATTCCTTCGTTTATCCTTAGCACTGAGATTATCAAAATCTGAATTCATTACAGTAGGGCTTCAGGCAAGACCTCAATAGGTTTGAATTAGGTTGATTCAAATATCAGATCTGGTGGATACCCAAATCTATTAACACACTTAAGGATTCGCTCACACAATTCAGTTCTGAGTCGCCCTGCTTCACCCCCATTTTTTCTGTCCCCAGCCTTTTAAATGGATAAACATGTGTCTGCATGAAGACTATATTTTAAAATATCTCCTGCACAACAACTAACAGGGTTTTGTGGCAATTAATACACAGGTCCCTTTCCCCACCCAAATCTCAAAACCTTAGATATTTAGACCTCCTCACCATAGTCTTAACATATTAACTGCTTGGTATTTGATCTCCAGGTATAGGGGTGGCATTTTGCTGGTGGAGAAGCAATGCCGGCTTGGGTGCCAATTTCCTGCAAGATCCTCTTACCGAAATCTCATGAGAGCTCATGTGTTTTGTGAAATCTCACAAGTTCTTACTGGAAATCCGTGCTGATTCTGGCACCACTTCTCCACTGGCAGCAGAGGTGGTGGGGTCTGCCTCATGGGTATGCCAGGCCTTATCAAGTGTGTATGTGTGCATGTGTGTGTGTGTGTGTGTGTGTACACAGTGCTTTTTTCTGGGGGGATGCAGGGGTACGCATACCCCTAACCATTTTGTGAATCTTTGCACTTTTGTCCATTTACTGTATTTTTCCTGATTTGAACCATAAAATGGTGATTTTCTTGAGTCAAAATGAGAGTACTCCTAAACATTTTTTGGGGACACACACACACACACACACACACACACACGTGAGGAGGTAGGGGGAGAGAGGTCTCCTCCCCTCTTATATTCAGTATGCTAGTTCTGGATGTATGGATAATTCTTTTTTCATAGGGAGAGACAGCTTGCCATTTCTCTCTCCCAGTCTAAAGTGGTAGAGTCCAGGAACAATTTGCCAACAAGTCTTTTCATAATGGTCAATCCACAAATAATACCCACCTTCCCCCATCCAGAAAAACTGTCAGACAGTCAAAGTTACATTTTATGTGAATTTCCTCACTGGATACCTGTCAAGTGAAAAATCTAACACCTAGAAATATTGTGTAGAATTGTCTGCCTCAGCGCCAAGTCTATGGGACATTGTAATTTAAAGTGTTGATGGATTATTCTTCCCCATACATACATGACCATTTTATTTGTAGAAAAGAGACAAGGGATTACATTCTTGGCTTCAATATTTAATCATGCTCCTCATGTACTAATCCACATTATGACTGAACTTTCAGTTACCATTACACATTGCAAATGCCTTTTACTCCAACCGAGTGTCGCAGGAACATCAAGTGTGAAAGAATGCAACCAAATGGAAATACCTTATGTAAAACATTAAAGGGGCCAGTGGGAAGCATCGCAGAGCATCCTGCAAGCATGTCGGCAAAGAAGAACTTCTGCAGCATGAATTTCCAGCTGCAGCAGTTCACAGGCAAATAGCATTGTTTCACACACCACAATGTTCATGCTACACAACCGTAGCACTATGGAGTCCTTCCTTGCCTTTCGTTTATCTATTTGCTCTATTCAGAACACCTTTGTTTGCCTTTCCAACCCAGTGCATGCTCTAAACAAAAAAATGTACAAAAAAGTTTAAAACCATTTTTTAAAAACAGTCTTCAAAATAGCAGGGGGGGAAAGAAGTATACAAATCAGCAGTCTCTTTGTCAAACATCACCAAATGTGCTGGACCAAAGAGCTAACTGAAGCTGAAGATATGCAGGAGAGGCTACTCTTAATTCTCTAGGAAAGGAATATCAGAAGATGGGTGCCACCACCGAAAAGGTTCTGTTATAACCAGCTGAGCTTTGACATGTGAGTTACTTTTGTGATTTGTCTATTGCTTGGCAAATTTCTGCTGTGCAGTGGGTAGTGAGAATAATATTATTGATAATTTTATTATTTGTACCTTGCCCATCTTACTGAAATGCCCCAGCCACTCTTCGCAAATAAGAACACAGAGACAGAATCTGTAAGTGCATATTTGAGGGTTTTCAACCATTTTGAGTCCACGGCTCCCTTGACCAACTACATTCTTTCTGCGGCTCCCCTGTGGAAAGTTCCCAGCATGGCCCTATACCTATATTTACTCAGACTAAGATGCACAGGGCTCACTCTTACCATACACTGGATCATAAATTTTAAAAATCAGTCATAGGGAAGCAATAAATAAATAATTTTTCCATGCCGCAAGAGCTCCTTGCAAGACAGAGGGTGGTTTGGGCAGCAGTTTGCACCAAGCAGGGGCCTTTTCAGAAACAACAGTCATATTACGCAGCAACGGAGCCATCAACCCATGCCTGCCTTCATCCAAGGCACCCCAGGGCACCAGTTGAAAACCACTAGCATATATATTTCCAAACCAAATTATCATATTGTATATTGCCATATACAGAAAGGCAGTAGCTTCTGCACATTTTATAAAATTATAAATACAATATTTATCTTACTGCAACTGCTACATTATGACAGGTTGTTTTTTTCTTAAAATGTTTCCCAAAACTGCTCATAACAAGAATGCCTCGTTTTCCACTTTATATTACTATTTATTTATACACTGGCTAGTTTCTGCTCTTTGAAACAAGAATCAGACATCAAATACAGGCCAAAAATATTCATTCTAAAACCTTTGATCCTAGTAGTCAGATAACAAGAGTCAATGTTCTGAAGGAGCAGCTTACTGGATCAGGAATACAGATCCTAGCTGTGGAGAAGCTAACTAGAACTTAATTAATTTTGACCTAGCAAACCTTTAGGGTCTAATATACATCCTAGCACGGGCACATGGGGACAACAGACTTACTGCTGGTTCAGTAATATCCATAAATGTTTATGCACTAACAGCTGTCCCTGCCAAGACTGTAGACAATGCAGGTATATCAGAAAACATAATAGAGGGGATCAAAAACAGCTGTAGAAAGCCAAAAAGAAAGAAAGAAAGAAGACAGCTGTGCAAGTGAATTGGTTCCCAATGCTTTTGTTTAGGTGAGCTGGAAGAGAAGTCCCAAAGAGTATTTTTCAGTAAGAAATTTAAGAAATTTCCCTTGATGAAGAAAACATTTCAAAATCCATTCACTCATTCGGTTCTCATGGGGGGGCATGTTAAGTGAACCCACGGAGGTGGGGTTGAGAGTTTATGGGGTGAATCTTTAGTTGCATCACCAGCTTTTTATCCTCTGAGCCAGAAGAAGAAGTCAAAAGACTTTGTTCCACATCTGTTATTCTGGTAGAGTAACACTTCAGTGAGAGAACACATGATTTTGTTGTTCGCCCCATCCCAAAGGCAAGACAGAGGCTCTTATATTTTAGTAAGAAAAGAAGCTTTATTCAACAGGTCAGGCTATGGGCACAGATCTCCAGAGACAAGGCTAGAGAGTTTGAGAACAGTGACAAGGGTCCAAGACCAGGTGAAAGCTGCAAAGATGTCTTGACAAACAGTCCCACCTGTCCCACCAGCTTTTAAAAGTGAGACATGGTGCCAGGGCCAGCCCAAGACATTTTGGCACCTGAGGCGAACCAAAAAATGGTGCCCTCTCCCTGCCAGGAAATAAAGGGTGAACAAAGATCTACATCAGGAATAGGGGAGGAATAAACATCTATATCAGGAACTGCTGCCCCTGTGAATCTGGCCACCCAAAGCAGTCGCCTCACTTTGCCTCATGGGTGGGACAGCCGTGCATGGTGCATTCACTTGCAAGACTTTCTCCCTATGAGACTGGTGCACTTTGAGGTGTGTGTGTCTCTCCGAGGGGCTTGGGTCTGTTGTCAGTGGCAGAGGCAGCACTGAGTTCTCAGCAAAGGGGTGGAGGGCTCAGCCCCTTGGGTTCCTCCTCCTCTAGCCGTCCAACTTCCTGTCCACCTGGTCTATGACCTCCCCTCTTGCTAGAGAACTCTTTGTTCTAGGGAGCCAGTGAGAGCAAGGGAAGGTTGTCCCTCTTGGGCTGTTTCCCACTGGCCGCCTCCTCTTACTCTTCCTCCTCAGCAACTTCCACCCCAGCCCTGAGCAGGTCAGGATCAAGGGGCTCATGACAACTTTATGAGAAAACAGTGGCATTTCCGGTTAAAAGGATGTTGTATAGCAGACCTGGGAGAAAGCTCTGCCTGATGCCTTGGGGAGCCTCTATGCATCAGCATATAGCATACTGAGCTTGGTAAACCAAGGGTTCTGATCTGGTAGAAGACAGCTTCCTATATTATTTCATGCATACATCATGGTGGTGGTGGGAAACTTGATAGGACTTTTGTTTCTCAAAAGACTGTAATTCCCTGTGAAGCCATAGGAAAAGCCCATCATATCATGGGCATCCTGGGTTTTGAAGAACTCTATATCTATAGCTGTTAAAAAGGCTACACTGCATATCCACAGCAGTGACCAGAAGACTACTGGGAGGAGCACAGAGAGAAGAAAGGCCATGGTGCACCTGTAGCAACAAAACCAGACACCTTCACCTGCCCTAGCTGCAATAAAACATGCCTCTCCTGTATCGGTCTCTATAGCCACAGCAGGCACTGTGACCCTCCAGCCATTGAAGGTGTACTCCTCCATTGTCTCCCAAGACAGGTGGATGCCAACAATTGAACAAGTTTTATCTACTCACAATGTAACATAGGCAGAAAAATGGCCAGTGTTATGTTTGCTGTAGGGTAACTGCTAAGTGCTCAATCCTCTTGTAGAAGTTAATGCTCAGTCATCAGTGACTAGTGCCCAGTTGTTGTGGGGTTGGGGATGGAAGGGAAAGAGATGGGAGACACAATGCATTATGACTACAGAGGAACCTTCCCTCAAATAAATTCTGGAGGCAGGGGAACAAACAAAATCAGACTACAACATGTTTGTTGTGCCCTCAGAAATTTATACGGCCAAAGGAAAGGGGGGTGTGTGTGTCTAAATATGAACCATGTATCTGGTCCAAGATAATCCTTTCAGCAGCCTTTTCCTGTGCCATTATTACAGGACAGCAGTGCCACAATGGTACGTTTGTGGGATTCAAATCCTTAATAACCTTTCGCTCAGTACAATGCACACTTCTTTTACTAGTGTAAAGGTGTACTTATATCTATAATCATCACTGGTCCAATTCACATGGCACCGCAAACCAGAGTTAAGTGTAAACAAGACTGTGTGTGCTTTTTCCCTCCCACTAGCGCACAGAGGAAACAAAGTGCTTACTGTTGCATCCAAACCAGGGATCATGGGTTGTTTCACTACAACAAGCCATAATCAATATGCCAAGAAAAGAAACCTTGGCTACTAATCATGGTTTTTTAGGATCAAAATAAACCGCAATCATATATAGCGCTAACCCAGGGGTAGTTGCTAGCTTCTCCTTGGAGCAAACCAAGTGCAATTGGCTTGGGCATGTGAGCCATAGATTATGGCTTGCCATCACATCGGAACTCCATCAGTGAAAGAAAAATACCACCAAACTGTTGCATTCATTATCTTGCGACATTCAAAAGACATTAATACAACATGGTGGTAGATGTACCTATAAAATGGTCCTGGGAGACAACTTCATGCATGCAGGGTCTGAATGATGTCATGCAATAATGCGTCTGGCTAAAATCACCATGCTTCTCACAAGTGTCTTCTGAAGCATCAAGTCTTAATCTACATTAAAAAGCAGAGGCTAACATGTATGAACAATGAATGCTATATAACTGAGTATGGTAGCTCCAATGTTCTTAAGCTGCTACCATTTTAATTTTAATGGAGTCTAATGAAATGCTGTCATTTCTCTAATGATGGCCTGCCATTTTGAAACCCTGTATTTTTTGTCACACCAAAGTCCAAAGCCAGCTTATCAAAAGGGTCATTCATCTAAAATTATCTCCAAAGACAAGAATTTAACCTGAAGATTCTCAAGTAAAGACGAGAGCAGCTTATTAGTCAAAGTTAAAAGGTATTGCTTTCACAGACATACTTTCATTTTTTCAGAGCAGAAGTGCACTTAAATATTTCTGTGTTTTTAATATATAGAAGCTAATAAAATACACTAGATTTGAACACAGTCAAGCTCACCCTGCTTTGGCAAATTGTGTTCTGCTTTCCTTTTTTATTATACTGCAGCACTACATTAATGTAGCACATTGGACTTCAAATTTATTATTTTAATTTCACTTCAATCTCCACGAGGGAACAAACCTGATTCCACTGGTGTACAGGGTCTTTATGTAAACAGAGATGACTAAAAATTGAATCCAGGCATTCTTTTCCTGGGGGCTACACCAGAAGTGGGCCCAACAGTGTCCTTGCCTTTTGTGATTATGGTGTAGTAGAATAATAATGACCCTACTTTGAGCAGGAAGACCATGCACCTTTATACTTTTTGCATCACCAGCACTGGCATGAAACATACTTATTTATGAAGGACAGTTTTACCAGGATATAGTGCCAAGAGTCTTCATAGACAATAGTGGTGTCACAAGCATGTGTTCCATTGGGTAAGAGCATGGCAGGTGTACTTTATATATTAAGTCAGTAATCTGGGAATGTCACCAGTGTCACATTGTGTCACAGTCCGGTTCGCGGGCAATCAAAGTCCCGGCTGGGGATGTTGGGACCGGGGACAAGATGGCGGGGTGGGAGCAGGAATGGGGATCCAGAAGCCAGGAGTGAGGAAGCCAAGAGTCCAAGTGGCAGAGAGCTGGGAGTCACAAAGTCAAGAGTCCGAGGATCAAGAAGCAAGGAGTCATGAAGTCAGGGGTCCGAGGATCAAGAAGCAAGGAGTCAAGGAGCCAAACGCAGCAAGGCAGGGAATGTGTTGCTGTGGCAAAGAGCCGAAGGGAAATGCTGACCTTATATCCCTTCCTGGCTCTTGCCACCAGGTGCTGCGAGTTACCAATCGGCCTCACCTGTGCGGCCGCACCTTGCCTCTTCAGAACAAACTTAGGAAGGCCCCAGTCCTGCAAAGTCCTACTAGTCACAGGGTCTGGCTCCTGCACGCACTCCTGACACATTGGTATTTTGCGCAGCAAAATGTTGCAAAGTCTCTTCAGATACAGTGGTACCTTGGGTTAAGAACTTAGTACGTTCTGGAGGTTCGTTCTTAACCTGAAACTGTTCTTAACCTGAAGCACCACTTTAGCTAATGGGGCCTCCTGCTGCCACCGCGCTGCCGGAGCACGATTTCTGTTCTCATCCTGAAGCAAAGTTCTTAACCCGAGGTACTATTTCTGGGGTAGCGGAATCTGCAACCTGAAGAATCTGTAACCAACGTGACCAGAGATTCTCCGAGGACTGGAAGAAATTTACAGAGTATATCAAAAATTTCTGTGATGAGCAAATAACGTTCGTTGGCTTTCAAGAAGCTCTGTGAAATTACTGTTAGAAATATTGTTTAAAAAATATGATGTGATTAAGAGTATTTGAGTGCAATATAATATTGGGAAATCTGAGACGAGGATAAAAAAAATAAACGGAAAATTATCAGACAAGCCGAGGGAAGTTCTGGAAAAAAGGGTTTAAGTTAAAAATGGATGTATAATTTTGTAAAAATGTTTTTTTTAATGGAAAATCTAATAAAAAATATTTATTAAAAAAGAAGAAGAAGAATCTGTAACCCGAGGTAACACTGTACTATGAAGTTCAGTGCATGAAAAGGGATCAGGGACGCACATGCTAGCCCTGCTCCCAATGTCCACATCACCACCAGCTTCATCCATGCCCTCCTAAGGGAGATTCTGAGCACACTGGGTCGAATGCAATTTAGGAGCCTCCTTGCAATTAGGCATCTCTTTTGCACAGTTCTAGGTCAAGGTCAGGCTTCTAAGGGTGTTCAGTCTCACTTCAGGTCTTCTTCCTCAACCTGGGAAAATCAGGATGGAGCCACACATAGCCCTGCTCCTCCTCTGCGTGCGGAATTTTTAAAATACCTTAATAGGAGGTGCACAGGCAGGTACATTTCATTATTATTTTATTCATCATATTTTTATTAGTCATCTTTTGGCTCCAAAAGGCCCCCAAGGCAATGTACAATTTAAAGATATACATGCAACTTTAAAGCCCCTGATAAACTTAGGGAGTGAACCAAACACTCATGTATGTATGACAACTACCATTTACTGTATATGGTCGGTGAGGGAAACATGACTGAAACTCTCTCAAGATATGATAGAGCTCATGGGGCAGCCAAAGAGCCTGCAAAAGTATTTACTTGGGTCCAGGACATGGAAACAAAGAGGGAACATTGCAGTGGATTATCAGCAAAAGATAACACAATCACAAAATCCCTTAGTGTTCTATAATATAGATACTTCCCCCTTAGAGCTTCATAAAAGGACCAGGGTATAATCTGGTCTTTAAAGTGCATGCTCGCCTTAACCTTGAGGACATTATGAAAAAAAGCTAAATAAAGCTCAAGATGCCAGGATTTTGACCCTTAACCTAAGAAACATTTGAAATAAAACATTTCACCAAGCGTTCAACAGGGTCTCTCTTTTCTTTGTTCTTAAAGGGGGCTGAAAGAGAGATGTGGATCTTTAAGAAAGAGGTGTCAAAATTTCTAAAGTGATACACAGGTCTTGTGTCAAAATTCTTGAGAGGAAGTGCCATCTCCTCTAGTTACCCTCAAGTACCCTTTCTGTCAGCCTGACCTTTACATTCACGTTGGACCTTGATTACATCAGACCTCTGTTTCTTTCACTCCCTTCTCTTCCTATGACACCCAAATCCGGGCGGGGGGGGGCAAAAAGGACAGTGCAGCTGTGTTTTGCCAGCGTAAAGAAGAGATAAGGCTTAAAATATTGCTTGTCTCCTCTCTTCTTTATAGCAAAGTGTTTAAACAGCATCTCAGCGTTATTAATAGCATCTCCACAAACTCTTAATGCCTCTTGCTCTCGATCGAGCATGCCTCTGTATAAACCATGCCATCTTCTGGTGCTTCCTGGCAGCGAGAAAAGAAATACAAGGGACAGAACCAAAACTGTTGCAGTTCTCCCACTGCCTGCACTGTTGGCTATTTCTGGACGCAGCACTCTAATCCACCTGCGGAAAACCTGCGGCTTTTTTAGAAACTACGATTACAAAAGCGCACAAAGAAGGCAAAAACAAGGAAATCGCCTCAGACTATACTGCAAGCCAACAAATACAGTGGTACCTCTGGTTAAGAACTTAATCTGTTCTGGAGGTCCGTTCTTAACCTGAAACTGTTATTAACCACTTTAGCTAATGGGGCCTCCCGCCACCGCCATGTTGCCACCGCATGATTTCTGTTCTCATCCTGCAGTAAAGCTCTTAACCCGAGGTACTACTTCCAGGTTAGCGGAGTCTGTAACCTGAAGTGTTTGTAACCCAAAGCATTTGTAACCCGAGGTACCACTGTACTGTCAAAAGTATGGGCTAGCTCTTTGGAAACATCCCTGGGTCCTGGGGGGAAATGTTATCAGTACTTGATGTGTGAAATGAAATATCTTGAACACAACAAATTGCCAGAATCAGCACTTTCCATGAATGTATATAAAGATAATCATAAGTAGTGAAATTCCATTTGAGGAGGAAAATATAAATGGTCTAGGGCACAGGCGGCTGAGATTCTGCAGCTTTTGTCAGAATATGGAGACTTCCAAATGTTCTTAGGTTTCAGGTGTTCTTAGGTTTCCCTAAGAAAAGGCACTTATTTCATTTTTCACTTCCAGCAAAAAAAAAAAAGTGCAAATAACACTGACTACTTGTACTTTGAATTATAAAACTTTTATAGGTTATAGTGGCATCCCTTGCACTTAAAAGATCATACAATTCCACCCCACCTTTCTTCTATTTCTATCCAGTCCAAATAACTTTATTGTATTAGCCACAAACAGAGGACACTCAACTCCAGGATCAGCTTCATATGGTTTGCTCAGAATTAACCCTCATCAAAAACCTTCTTACAGTAAGCATTGGGCTGCTTACAACATTAGTGGAAATTTTTACAATTCAAGAGAGAGCTTTAGAGTCAAAAGTTATTGAAAGGACATCTAAACAAACCCAGTTGGTAATCAATGAAACGACAAAGGCAAATGCTAAAGAAGTCACCAAAAGACTGTATAAGAAAAAAATCTAAAGCGCTGAATAAAAATAAAAATATTAAAAACTTTAAGAAGCAAAAGAAAACTCATTGTGCACATAAAAATCTATTACAGAAGCTTACAAGTTGATACCAACGGTTTCCACTCTGGACACAAATAAGCCTACATCAAAAGCTCATGGGAAAAAAGGGAAAAGGAAGACGACAGCAGCAAATCTTGCTAAACCACAGCAAATGCTAGGGACGGAAAATCAGACAGAGGAAAATAAAACAGATACTTCAGTTGAGCTTGCTGCTCTGACTACAGGAGGGAAAGCACCTGGGAACAAGGGGAACAGAGGATACTATCCACAAAATTGAACTTGACCCAGTAACTGATTACCCAGAAGTCCAACATGACTTTCATTAGGAAAAAGGGTGGAATTTGGTGATGAGTCCACAAAAACTAGTTATCGCAAATTATTCCAAACTGAAAAGCCTCCTCACCCAGGCAGAAAGTATAACACATCTCCTGCTTATTCTAAATAAGACCTTACCAGGAGCAATGAGGCCCAACGATATTGTCTTCATAGAATATCTATATCATGACAGTTTTAGGGCACAGGCAGTGGTTTAACTTTAAGGATCCAGATCTAGCCAACATTATTTATAAAATCAGTGAGTTTTTCATAAAAGACAGGCTAGAAATTATAAGACTTTTCAAAAACCAGGCCCCAGTGACCTCTCCTCCTGGTGGGCTGTCCATTACAAAGATAAAGATTCTCTGAAACCAAACAGTGATGAAAACCTTATAGATTTGAATTGGACCCAAGAATCCTTGCCCCTTTATTATAAACAAAAGACATCAAAACCAGAATGGAAGATACCACCTATACATGATCATGATACTCCGCTATCAAGTGGATATATTTTTTTTTTACTTCAGAAGAGAAAGCCTTAATGTGTCAGTATTGGACATTGCCAGCCATGGCCCAAATAGAAATCTTGGAAAGGCTAGATTTTTTGAGAAGCTGTTTAACAGGGCTTAAATTGTGCAACAAAGAAGAAGCAATGGGCTTAAAATTAAAATTAAAGGAATCTAAGTCGCAAGTGATAAAAGAGATAAAAAGGGGAAAGGGGAGAGCAAGTCCCAGGAAAGTCGAACCCAGAGATATGATGGACGATGGTACAGTGCAAGCCCAGATAAATCTGTTATCAAATAATAACATACAAAGTAAAAAGGAGGAGAACCCTCCAGAAACTACTAACAGGTGAGTTCTATAAAATTTGCCCAAAGGTTGCTGCTCCCAGATGACCCAGGCCTGGGTATAAACATGCCATTGGAAAATAAGATCCTGGAAGAAAATCTCCAAGAACCTTCACAGACCTTTTCTAAGCAGGAGTAGCAGAGAATTATAGCAAAACACGACCTGTTAAAGGAAAGCCTACCCACGAGTAAAGAAAAATCTCCAAACCCTCTAAAGCCATCTATGATTCAACCAATCTGTGACTCATATATTAAATGGAACATCTCAGCAGTGCCCTTTCAAAGAACAACATCTTTATCAGATCTAAAGATAATACACCTAACTGACCACCCCCAATAATTGAGGGAAATCAAACTAGTGAAAGCAATGGTGCCAAGTTTTTATTCCTTGAAAACCAAGAATCCCCGAAGCTGAACTGTAAAATGCAAACCCCACTGATAAACCTGAATTCAGAGGATATGGAACTTACCCCAACCCTCCCTAGCGCCCCTCAAATAAATAACTATGTCCCTCAGGACAGTCGTAGACCTTTGGATCAAACTGTAGAACCTGATTGGCAACCAGCAGTTGCCCCTACTGGAATTCTTTGCCTCATCTCCTGAAACACTGCTGGACTGGCGGGGAGCCAGTGACCTGGACTTCATAGACTGTCTTAAAAGCTTCGACTGTATATTACTTCAAGAAACCTGATTAGTGACTGAGGTAATAATAATAATAATTTATTATTTATACCCCACCCATCTGGCTGAGTTTCCCCATTGCCAGATTCTCTTCATATAACTTACCTGCTCATAGACAATTCTTCACAGGCTCATAGACAATTCTTCACAGGCTCATAGACAATTCTTCACAAAGCTGGCCTATTGATCTTAATCAGATCTGGTCTGCCATTCAAAAAAACTCCTCTTGGCACTTATCCTCCATTAGCCCAAGCTTACCTAATAACTATGAATAACCAACTGGTAATTTTGGTGGTGCAGGTGGCGCTGTGGTGTAAACTACTGAGCCTGGGGCTTGCTGATCAGAAGGTCGGTGGTTCAAATCCCCGCGATGGGGTGAGCTCCCATTGCTCACTCCCAGCTCCTGCCAACCTAGCAGTTCGAAAGCACGTCAAAGTGCAAGTAGATAAATAGGTACCGCTCCGGCGGGAAGGTAAATGGCGTTTCTGTGCGCTGCTCTGGTTTTGCCAGAAGCGGCTTAGTCATGCTGGCCACATGACCAGGAAAAACGGTCTGCAGGCAAATGCCGGCTCCCTCAGCCAGTTAAGTTAGATGAGCGCCGCAACCCCAGAATCGTTCGCGACTGGACTTAACTGTCAGGGGTCCTTTACCTTTCCTTTTTAAAATTTTGGTAAATGTCTACCTCCCTCAGAAGATGAGATGTTTCTAACTGCTAATTGGGACAAGTTGTCAGATGTTATGTTCTCTCTATCCAAAAAATTTCCATTTACCCAATTTATTATTATGGCCAATTTAAATGCGCAAATTTGGACCATCCACCAAAATATTGTATCCCAATTGGGTTTTGAAGGAATAGATATAATACCTACCCCACTGTCTATTCACCGCTCCTCTAAGGATAGATTAACTAACAGAGCAGGATTAAAACTTATGGAATTTTGAATTGCCCATAATGTAGTTATCTTAAAGGGACTAAATAACATTCCTGGTGGTGATAAGTTTACTTTCATCTCGTCCAGGGGTCAGAGTGTAGTTGATTACTGCATCTGTTCTCTAAATCTACACTCTGATGTTAACTTCTTTTTTATTGGCGTCCGTACAGACTTACTTCTGACTATAAAATGCGACCCAGCAAATAAGATCTTGAAGCCTGGTAACTCAGATCAGGCCTCTTATAGTATTCTGAAAAGGATTAGAATAATGGTCCCTGCAGTTCTAAGGGGTGATCGCCAAATTCCTGGACTTGGACAAAATGTTGCATTTGAGAACAACCCTTACTAACTCACATTCTATTAAGGTAGTAATAACAGCAATAGACTACTGTGGTACAATAGCTAAGCATGCATCTGTTACCCTCTCTAATCCCTCCCCTTGACCAGGAATGTTATACAGAGAAAAGATTGCTCAGAATATCGTTCAGAGACCTTCGCAAAAAGGGTGATAAAAAACCTATTTTATGTGAAGGAAGTGGCAGGATTTAAACTGAACAAGTTAAAAACTAAGGTTTTAGAGAAAAAATTAACACCGATTGAAAGAGAGAGGTTTCAGAATGAGACAGGCTTGACTGTGGTTAAGAAAGTGAAATACCTGGGGATTAATATGACAGCCAAAAATGGCAACTTTTTTAAAGATAATTATGAAAAATGTTGGACGGAAGTGAAAAAAGATTTAGAAATTTGGTCAAATTTGAAGCTTTCACTGTTGGGTCGTATTGCAGTGATAAAAATGAATGTATTGCCTAGAATGCTGTTTTTGTTTCAAACATTGCAAATTGTGGACAAGATGGATTGTTTCAAAAAGTGGCAGAGAGATATTTCTAGATTTGTCTGGCAGGGCAAGAAGCCCAGAATAAAATTTAATATATTAACTGATGCAAAGGAAAGGGGTGGATTTGCCCTGCCAGACTTTAAACTTTACTATGAATCAGCAGCTTTTTGCTGGTTGAAAGAATGGCTACTTCTTGAAAACACAGACATTTTGGACCTAGAAGGTTTTAACAACGTATTTGGATGGCATGCATATCTGTGGTATGACAAGGTCAAAGCACATAAAGCATTTAAAAACCATATTGTCAGGAAAGCATTGTTTAATGTTTGGATAAGATATAAGGATTTATTGGAAAACAAAACTCCAAGGTGGCTGTCACCGATGGAAGCAAAAGCTCTGAAAAAGCTCAATATGGAGGCCAAATGGCCGAAATATTGGGAAATTTTGGAACAAGATGGAGATAGACTGAAACTGCAGAGTTTTGAGAAACTAAAAAATAAAGTGCGAGACTGGCTTCATTATTATCAGATAATGGAGGCATATAATTTGGACAAGAAAATTGGCTTCCAGGTGGAAAAATCAAAATTAGAAACAGAACTGGTAGAACCCAAAACTAAGATTTTGTCAAAGATGTATAACTTGCTGTTGAAATGGAATACTCAGGATGAAACGGTGAAATCTGCTATGATTAAATGGGCACAAGATGTTGGACATAACATAATGATGGCTGACTGGGAACAGTTATGGACCACAGGTATGAAGTTTACGGCATGCAATGCCTTAAGAGAGAATATTATGAAAATGATATACAGGTGGTACATGACCCCAGTCAAGCTTGCAAAAATCTATCATTTGCCCGATAATAAATGTTGGAAATGTAAAGAAACTGAAGGTACATTCTTTCACCTTTGGTGGACGTGCCCAAGGATTAAGCCTTTCTGGGAAATGATCTATAATGAAATGAAAAAGGTATTTAAATATACCTTCCTGAAGAAACCAGAGGCCTTTCTTCTGGGCATAGTCGGCCAATCGGTGCCAAAGAAGGATAGAACTTTTTTTATGTATGCAACAACAGCAGCAAGAATACTCATTGCAAAGTATTGGAAGACGCAAGATCTACCCACTTTGGAAGAATGGCAGATGAAGGTGATGGACTTTATGGAATTGGCAGAAATGACTGGCAGAATCCGAGACCAGGGAGAAGAGTCGGTGGAAGAAGATTGGAAGGAATTCAAAGACTATCTACAGAAATATTGTAAAATTAATGAATGTTAGAATGATGTTGGATAGAAATTAAGTGGTTTCCTGCTGTAATGCTTTAAGGGAATATGAAAAAAGGGTTATTAATAGGTAAAAATCTAATGCTATTATTTTCAAGATCAAAGATTAGGATAAATAAAGAGGGTAAGGATTTGCTGAACCAACAAATTGAAGTGGAATACAAAAAAGGGAGGTATGAGGAGTTCCGGGAAACAAGCTAAAGGAAAATAATCAATGGAAAATCTGTGTGTTTTTAACTATTTTTATTTTGTATTTTTGTTTTTTTTCTTTTCATTTTTATTGTAATACTTTAAAAAAGCTTAATAAATATCTTATATGTGAAGGAAGTTCATATAATGAACTTATTGCTAAGAAAAAGATAATATACCATCAGAAAAAATGGACCCACTTAATAAATGCAATAAAAAGGAACATTCATAAAACCGTCTGGCAAATAAGCTCTGGCTACCTCTCTTTTAACTGTACCTACTATTCCCTCCCAAACCTGGGTGGACTATTTTAAAATATTCAATGCCTTACCCTGCTTTCTTCCAAATGCTGATGAGCCTTTCCCTTCTAATATACCAAACTGGCCCCCGGTAAGCTCAAACAAAACTATGGAACTTATTGCAGAACTAAAACCCGGTAAGACCCCTGGCTGTGATGGGATTTCTGCTGAGATTCTGAAAAGTATGCAGATTAGTGGGCATCATCACTTGCTAACCTTTTACCAAATCATGGTTAACTTCTGTAATTATCCCAATTTATTTTTTAAAAAAGGTGATCTGAGCAGCCATGTACCGTATTTTTCACTCTATAAGACACACCAGACCACAAGACGCACCTAGTTTCTGGAGGAGGAACACGGGGGGGGGGGGGGATTCTGAATCTCAGAAGCCAGAACAGCACAGCGAAAGCAGCGATCTCTCTTGCTGTTCTGGCGTCTGGGATAACTGCGCAGCCTGCATTCGCTCCATAAGACGCACACACATTTCCCCTTACTTTTTAGGAGGGAAAAAGTGAGTCTTATAGAGCAAAAAATACGGTAATTATCGCCCTACTAGTCTCCTGTCCATTATAAGTAAACTCTATTCTAAACATTTAGAGCGCTATCTATTGGTTTGGATTAAAATGTATAGAATTATTGGCCCTGAATAGATCGGATTTACAAAACAGAAATCAACTATTGATCACTGTCTTTCACTTGCCTTTCTAGCAGATAAATATATGAATCCAAAAGGGGAAAGTTACATGTGGCCTTTATTGATCTGAAAAGTGCTTTTATGAGGGATGTTATGGGAGAAACTGAATGCTATTGAGCTAGAACCCCAACTACTTTTCTTGACAAAAAAGCTGCACTGTGTGGCAGGTGAAGATCTCCCCGGACGGCCACTTATCACTCAGCTTTACAACTATTAAAGGAGTCAAACAAGGCTGTATTCTTCCCCACAACTATTTAATTTATTTTTGAATGATATGAAACAACATGTATTCATTGTGAATGGCCACCCTCCTAGGTTAGGATCTAAGGCAGCTGCCATACTTTTACATGCGGATGACACTGTCCTCCTCTCCTGCACCAGAGTTGGGCTCCAAAGGTATCTAAAAGAATTCTTTCATTACTGTCAAGGAAATCAACTAGCGATTAATTACTCAAAATCCAAGATCTTGGTATTTTCAAAGAGTTGGCATCCATCTAAATGGTGCATGATCAAGAAATCAAACAAATTAAAAGCTTTAAATTCTTAGGGATCATCTTTTATTACAATCTAAAATGGGTGACCCATTGTAACAGAATAATCAACCTAGTTAAATGCTCTGCAGCATGAATTAAACAATTCTAATTTCTCAATGTTAATCAGAATGTGCCTGCAGGGGTTAGGGCCTATAGCGCAAAAACTGTTTGGCAACTCCTTTATGGGATTCCCTTATGGATAACTAACTTTAACAACAAAGTTGAGGGCATATAGGCATCCTTCTTCTGACAAATTCTAGGAGCTCCAAAATGTGTCTTCTATCTGGCTATGTGTGCAGAGTTAGGGAAGCATCTCCTAGAATCTAGGAGCTGGATTATGACTTTCAAATACTGGCTAAAAAATCATTTTAATACAGAGCCGGAAAGTTTACTAACTTCTTAATTGAGAGATACGCATAATTCTACATGGTTTTATGATATTACCCTCAAACTCAGATAAACAGGGATTGCAGTAGATTCCCTTCTTCTATTGGATGACTCACAAATCTTCTCTCTCATCAAACAGAGGCTGTTAGATCATGAAATCCAAAAACTGTACCCTTCCCAGCCTCTTGTATGTTCATCTGCTTACTTAGGATTGCAGCCCCACCATGGAGTAATGCCTAATTACTCTTATAATTTACCGTAGATACTCCATCAAATCACAGAGCTTTTATGCTAGTTTGTCTAAATGCATTCCCCTCAAATGTTTTGTTTGGAAGGTTTCGGGGAAAACCCCTTCCAGGACAGATTCTGTTCCTTTAATAAGAAAACACCAGATACATCACATAATTTTGGATTGCCCTCTTCTCGACACCCATCACAGAGATCTCCTAGTGACTCCCTAGTCATTTACAAACAGTCTGTAATCCAATATTTGTTGAGGGATGATACTCCCAAAACTACCAAGATGGTTTCAGGGTACTTAGCCAAGATCTGTCAAGCTAAATCTTCTTCTTTTTTTAAAATGATATTTATTAAGCATTTTAAAATTACAGAAAAAAACAAAGAGACAAAGAAGAAAAAAAAGCAAGGGAAAAACAAACAGCAGTCAAACAATACAAATCGATAAAAATCAAAAAGAAACAAAAAAAAAACACATAACACATCAAAATCCAAAAAACAAAAATAAACCACAAACATTTAAAAACAGATCCAATATTCCCAAATCCTTAACTTTCATTGCCTTATTTCATCGACCTCCTCACACCTCCCTTTTTGTATTCCAGTTATTAATTATCACAGCAAATCCTTCCCATTTTTCATAATATTCTGTCATTAAATTACCTTAATCTATTTTAACCTTATCTTACTATAAAAGACCCTAAAACTTAAAACTTAAATCTTGTTTATACCAATTTCTCATAACCATAACATATTCTTGCATAGTTCTTTTTAACATTTCTACTAAAGCCAAATAGTTTCGTTCCAACATTTTTCTAATACTCATTAATTTTACAAAACAATCCTAAATAAAAATTTTTTAAAACTTTCTTCCAATCTTCATCCAACGTCTCTTCCTCCTGGTCCCGGGTTTTGTCAGTCCTTTCTGTCCCATCCATCTAGTTCATTAACCTGGTAATCTTATGTCCGAGGCCCTTAAGTCTCTTCCATGTCCCTTCCGCAGATCTTCTTCATATTTATACCTGTACTTTACTTTGTCTCCTGGTCCTTTCACTCGTGGAAACTCCAACTTAACAGTATTTTTGTCCCTTCTCGACAGATCAGCCCCTTTTCCATAGTCCACACTGAACTCCATATGGTATTTAAAAGCATGTTTCAAGGTCCCTCCAGAGTTGAGGACCCCCACAACCCCAAACTCCTCACGGCCCATTGCCATACTTGAAAAGTCAAGACATCCCTGCATGGGGGGTCTATCCAGCCCCCCATCTCCAAGCCCAACAAAACTCTCTCTCCAAATCTGGCTTTTTCCAAGTTCATTTGTCAAATCCAACAACTCACGTTCCTGCTGGGCCACAGCTCCCTCCATCTCTGCCACCCGAGGTCCAACAACAACCTCCTCCCTCATCTGATCTGTCAGAGCACACTCCTGAGTTGATTCCTGGGTGGGTTCTATATAGATACCCACTACCTGTCTAAAATTTCTGATCGCAACTGTCATCAAATCCATCTTCTCATGTAACTGTTCCAATAAAGCACTTGTCTTGCAGAAAGCACGCACCAGAGCCTCTGAATACATTGTTATGCAAGGTCAGAAGTCTGTTCCCACGATCTTAATCTGTTTGCAGCTGCGAAGCTCCCCAGTTCAAGTTTAACAGCAGTTTCACAAGCTCCCTCTAGGGGAAGAACTTCTATTTGTATCAATCTCTTTTCTTTTCTTTTTTTAACAGCAGATCTAACAACAAAGTTTCCTTTTTCAGATATTTTGTCAGTATTTGTTCCTTTAAAATGCGAAAGAGAACAATGGAATCACTATGTTTCTCTTCTTTTAGCTGTCTGTCAAAAACATTTGTCTATAGTCAATGAACTTCCCAAAAACGTCTGTCCTGACACCCTGCTCCCAGGTTCAAGACGGTGGAAAATTACTTTTCTTTACACTCTCTTCTGCAGGTTTAAACAATCCAGAAAAAATCCCCCCTCTTCTCCTGCTTCCGAAGGGGGTTCAGTAGTTTTAGATGATGAAAGTTGATCCTTTACAAACGATTTTCTAAACTCTAGTTTGCCATGTCTTTGCTTTAATCTATCTACAAGAAACGGAAGGCTGACTTCCTGTTTAGACCTTCCCGCTTCAGTGCCAAATTAAGAGGAATTTCTTAATCCAATTTTCCGTTCTACTCACAGATCGTTGTTTAAAGTCCAATTGTCCAAATTTGATCTGCTCACGGGTAGTTGTTTTTGTAGCCAAATTGTCCCAGGAAAAGGTAGCGCTCTCCGGCAACGGCTGTGCGGCTTCGCTCCACGGAAGAAGCAGTTGACTCTCAGCACCGCGCCACTAGCCCCTTTTCGCTCCGGAGCCCGTAATTGGGTTCCTTTACGAATTGGGGGGGGCGCAAATGGTGCCCGCCGAGTCCCATGGTCACAGGCTTCATCCGCCTGTGATTTTTTAAAGGGTCCCCGCTTCGCCGTAGCGGAACAGACCCGTTTTCCGTGGAGACAGTCCCTCCGGATCAGAGGGAATCCGCCATTACCGATCGCGCCGCCCCGGAAGTCCCCTGTCAAGCTAAATCTAAAGTTGCCTGATTTGTTCAGTGGTGACTATCTAGTCTTTTATATATTGTATGTGTTTGGATTATCAATGTATTTGGATGACTTTTTATGATTTTATTGTTTTAACTTATGCCGATAAAGGCTAGTAGCAGTACAAATCTGAATAAAAAAATAAATACAAGCAAAAGGGGTGTTGCACCACAAATAATGGTCTCTATTTAGATCTCTGCATCTCCCTTACAGTTCACTGCTATATTGTCTAGGGTCTTCTTTCTGATCTTTTTGGCTGCCAAAGCAAAAAGGGCGACTTTATGAGTCACTGAAGTGTTTACATCGCTAAGAAACCATAAGGACCTTCTCCGCCAGGGTGAGACATCTTTCCTGTACGGACGGTGAGGGTGATCTGGCTGCGACATCTGCCACCCCATCGATTGCCAGGGTTGATTCGGCTGATCTGGCTGGCTAGGCGGATGTCCCTTTCCTCCTGCACCATTCCATGTGTGTCCCTCCCAATGCCATGCGTTTAGTGGAAGAGGATGACCATCCCAGGTAGCAGGAGTGTACCATTCTTCGGTCAAGGGTATACAATAGCTGCGCTCCCCTGCTAGAACCTCCAACAAGCTCTTTTATTTCAAAAATATTCTATTATATATAATATGCACCAGTTTAAAGGTTGTTTTCCCCACAACAGTTCTGTTTCTCCAAAGCAACTCTGTTTCGCAGTAAGTACACTTCACTTCACCTCCAAATAAAGTAAATAATCTCAGATGCCACAGTCGACCTATCTGTTGAGCCATCAGCCAAAATACCTAAGAAACTGGCTTTCCTACATCCCCTAAGCTGGCCTGGTCCCCTCAAATGCAGTGGAAGATACTGTCCCTTCATCAGTGTTCAACTTATTGGTCAGCTTAAGTGTCTGAAGTTCAGGAGGTGCTGAGAGGGCCTTAGTCTTATCTCTGAAGCTGCTATGCTATGCTGAAGCTTACCTAGCTGCTATGCTGAGTTGTTGATCTGTTGCACAGCAATAGATATAGCTACTGAAGTTTTCCTGGCTCCTGTTGCTTCCTGGTATCATGGCAGACCTGTTACAAGGTTTCTTCACACAGTGAGTACCCTTTCCAAGCCCAAGAGATACTACAGGTACCATCTTGTCCTTTGACTCAGGCAGCAGAATGACTTGAGCTGGCCCTGGGAGTAAGCCAAATTCAACTGAGTGAAAAATTCTGAGTAAATATGCATAGAGTCGGGGCTATAGCAGCAGAGTAAGTAACCACTGAGACCTCTGGCCTGTTCTGCCTGGTTTAAAAAGAGGACAGGGCCCCTACAATGATAATAGTTGTGTAGAAGATGGTATTTCAAATGGGACAGTTTGTCGTGTCTTCTTTGCATCTGGTCATCCCAAATGTGTCTCCCTTGCCTTTTGTGGAGTAAAACCATAGTCCTCCTTTAATTATTGAATTAACTCCTCACATAATATAAATTGTTCTCTTGCAGCATGCAGTTTAAGATGTACTACCAAAACAGATAACGTTGTGACAAGCAGTTCCTTTACAATGCACCACCACAAAAAGCACCAACACAAAAACCCAGGGTCCATGTGGCATCACAGATGAAACACAACATGTCCCTCTGCCACAGCCTGGTGCAAAGCATATCCATGAAAACTATGCAAGCATAAAACAAGCAAATTAGCTGCAGCCCTCCAGCTCATTATACATCACCAAGTTGGCCCTTGTTTTAGACAAATTGGCTATTTCAAAACTAGCGCATGGGGGGGGGTGCATTTGTATTTCACTGAAATCAAATAAGCAAGCCAGCCAGCAAACAAACAAAAATACTCCACTATTCAGCAATGATCCAGTAATCTATAACTTACATCAACAGTGACTGCAGAGCCATGGGACAATTAATGCAAGAGGGCAAAATTCTTATTGTAAAAATATGAATTTTCTCCTTCCATGTTGCTTCTCAACAGGCGTAACTAATTTTCCTCAGACTTTGCTTGGAGCAGTCAATATGTGCTCCCCATTGCTTGGAATTAAAAAGGCATCTGCCATGCTTCTAAAATATAAAATCTGGCCTGTTTTGAAGGATGCCCAGAAATGCTAATGTTTTGCCTTTCTGGTTGCTGACACTGGTCCTATTCCTGACATTTTCCTGGGTTCACTTGAGGTCTAGGCATGGCAAAGGCTGTGTATACTCCAAACCCATAGCAGCACAGAAGAACAGCAGAAAAACTGGCCAGCATTTAGTGTTGATTTGACAGTGCCATGGGCCAATAGACCAGTACATCTGCTATTCTTAATAACTTACCCCCACACTTTCAGTACCACAAAATTTTGCCACAAATCTTCTCTGTTCTTATAAATATATGTAGTAAGGATTTTGCCTAGTACTGAGCTATATATAGTTTTAAAAACATTTAATATAGGATGGAGTTAATTATAATATTTTATCTGATATATTTTAAGCAATATATTAGAAATGTTTAGCATAAGACAGCCCTGTAGCCAGGGTGGGCAAAACAGGTGAACTCCCCTCCCCATTTCTCCCCCAATTTTGTCTTTTACATTTGTGACATGACAGACCATTTAATGTTCACTTTCCCTGACTAAGGGTGGATTTTTCATGATCACACTCACCCTATAATCATCTAAGCAATCCTTCTGGCGGGGAACAGTAACACCACCCTTGAAAAGTTAAGTATTGGAACCTTGTATTATGGGCTAGACTCCATCCCTTGGTCCTTTCTGACCTCTGCTTTTCAGTGTCAGTTATGTTCTCTACCCAGCCAGGAATAAAGAAGCACATTTGTTCACCTGAAGTAAGAAGTAAAGAGTTTGTTTATTCTGCAGTTATTATGATGAGTAGAGCAGGATTGGGTGCTTAATGCTGAAAAAGTGAACTTGTCATTCAAAGAGCTTTCTTGCATGTTTAATCAAACATTTTAAAAAGCTTACAAAACAACTATTATGCACTAAATATTTTATCAAGTTAAGGACTCAATCTTATGGACTTCCAGACTTCCACAATAAAATTATGCATATTGTTCTAAGCACCACTCTCCCTACAAAGCTCTTGCATTGTAATGTGCTCTTACTCTGTTTCTAAATCCTTGTTTTCATACGGGTGCCATTGTTATACAAGATTAAAATTGATTTTTTTAAAAAAAACAAGCTCCACATGAGTTTTTAACTTCTTGCCCCATAAACTGTTTTGTTTGTTTTAAACCTCCTGGTACCCCCTTGCTCAGTGAGCCAGCCCCCCCCCCCCCATATGGGGAAGATGGCGGTAATCAAATATGTATTAAAGCTTTGGGAAATCTCATTAGGCCAGGATTGTCAATACAGTGCCCGTAGGCACCCTTGGGTGTTGCCAGAGGGCTGTCAGGGTGTCCACCAGGATATTTGTTCCCATCTGCACCAGATTACCATAAAAATGGATGTGCATTCAAGAGCTCAGACCCTAGCTCTGCCTTGTACAGCTAATAATTTAAAAAAAGAAAAACTAAGTGCATTTTGACTGTAACTAAGCTACTTGTTAGAATTGCTCTAAAACTCTACTCCAAATAATTTGTATTTCTGGTGTAGCTGGAGTTGTCTGGAGTACCTCTACATTAAAATTAATGAAAAGACGGTGAATCCTAGAGCAAAGGCCATCAATCTCTGCTTTGGGATTGTGTGACGAAGCACTATGAAGCTCTACAAGTATTTCTCTTTTTTAAAAAAATGAGAAATGTGCCTTCTTTGAATTCATATTCTCTGAAAGCCATTGTCCTAGATATGTGGTGTCTGACAGACTGCCCAAGAGCCAAGGCTGTGAGGAGGTCTAAAGTTTATTTAATCGAGCATTTGTGTTACACCCTATCTGGGGTATCTTATTTTTCCATAGAAGCAGGTACTTGATGCAGATGGAAAGGTATTCTGCACATACTTAAGGTGACTCTAAGTTTTATTATTATTATTTCATGTTTTCTAGGACTGAGCAATGGTACTGCAACAAAGACCCTAGACTTTAGTGAACTCTGGCTCAAATTAAGTCTTAAAGCTTTGACTCCATGAGCAGGGTCAACTTCTCTGCTTGGCATTCTAGTTTGGCCAGACCTACATCAGTCATGTCGCTCTGTGTTCTGCATTGAGGACCAGCCCCATGACATTTTGACATCATTAGATTATGGGGATGAACTTGAGAATGAGCATGCAGCAATAACAGGACCAGTCAACACGTTTTCAGTTTCTGAAGAGTCTATTCTCTTCCTCAGGGTGACATGGTACAATTTGGGGTGAGGGGGCGTTACTGCAGACATACCATAATGTATGAGGCAATATTTGCATTTTAAACTTACATACATGCTGTATGGAGCACAATATGCATAGGTAATGAGGGATCAAAGTTCATATCTAACACTACAGGGATGCACCACAGGTACATACAGGGTACCCACAAATCTTGTAACTTGCAAAACAATCTGAAAATGCTAATAAAGGCCAGACCTCAAGCTTGGAGCTCTCGTTACTGGAGCTCCTAAAAGTAAGCACCTGACTCCTGCCTAGTTCGGAGACCACTTGGAGTCAGATGTAAGCCACTCTGAGACTTCTGGAGGAACAGTAAAATGCAAAGAAAGAAAAATACATCTGATGGTCTGCACAGTTTGAATTGCATATGATTTTTTTTTCATTCATCAGCCATTGTTTTTATCATCATTAATGTGTCTGGTACTGTATGGAATACTGTAATGACAAGAAAAGATTGGTCCCTGGCCTAATGAATTGCAATCTAGAATGTGACTCAGAGAAGGTCATGGGGGGAGGAGAGGGAAGGGGCAGGGATAAAGAGGGGAAGAATCTACCTTTGGCGAAGGGCTTCATGGAAAAGGTGTGTTTTAAGCAGCAATGTAACAAGAGAGGAGCAGCTTCAAATGGAAAAGAATGGAGAATAATGAGATATTATTGGAATATTGGAGAATAATGAGATATTATTATCGAACATTTATAAGCTACTGTTAGACTGGGACACTAAAGATGAAGAAGTTAAAGCTGTAGATACACTGGGCAAAAGATGTGGGTTACAATATATCTTTTAATTTATGGGAGAAGTTGTGGAAAGAGGATTTAAAATTTACGGCTTGTTGTACATTGAAAGAAAACTACATGAAAATGATGGTTTTTTTTTAAAAATAAGAAACTATGACCACAGTATTTAGCTGCCTGTTTCCAGCTTTGCATATCTATGATTGCATGAAACATCTTTCCAGAGGTAGGATGCATTATCTTACTTTCCCACTTACGAAGCCGGGCAAATTCTGTTAAGCTACATAGTTCAAGAAACTAATAATTATTCTTATATCTGTGTACTTTACCTATGTAAGCTTGGTGGAATCCTTACAGCAACCCTGTAGGATAGGTATAAGAGCACTAGCTCATATTGGGAAAGGAGGCCTAAGGATGAAAGAGATTCCCTTATTGAAAATCATGTACAGAATTTTTGGAGCAAAAGGAGTGAGAACTGGGATGCTCCTGATCTGCACCACTATGCTACTGCGACACTAACTAAGCTTGGCTAGGAGTAGCTCATTTTCCCCTTTTACTTTCCTCCATCATTGAACCTGTTTCAGGCATCACAATCTTCCTTCCTTCATTTTCTGCCTAGTCAGAGTGGCTGGGGAAACGCAGCCAGATGGGTGGGATAATAATAATAATAATAATAATTCAGTTTACAGGGATGCAAAGAGGAACAAGCCTTAATATTACACATGCATTCCTTTACATATTAAGATGCAATGAGAACTTGTGCGTGCCCACTATTCAGATTTCATGTTCCCTCTTTAAAAAAAGAAAAATCTCCAGCACGCAGGATAGCATTTTCATCTCAGAACTTTTCGTGCTCCATTGCAGCCTTACGCTGCTGTTGCTCACACCTTCAATTGATGATCCATTGTGATTAAGCATGTCTCTCCATACGCGTGGGAAAGCATGGTGGGGAGATGAATCCTGAGTGTCTCTAAAAAAGTGAAATGCTGCACTCCTACACTCAGTTTGGCATACTAAAATTGTCCGCTTTTCACCAGCCTTGGTTATATTATTCATGCAGACTGCACTTAGCTTCCCATTGTTCCTGCTCTCATTGTTAATAAATGAGTCTTTGCTTCATCCAGGACTGGAACCTCCTTTAAGAACCATCCTCCATCCCAACAAAGTAGATGCTTATTAGCTTCAACTCCATTTAATTCATAGAGAGCTCTATACGTAGTTGTGCTTCTGGAAACAATGTCCCTTCCATGTATTCTTTAGGATCAGAAATACAATGTAAATTTAGCCTTTGCTGAAATAGGCTCCCCAAGTTTCTATTTGCTTCTTTCAAAGTTGCAGCAAGATTTTGATAAATTGGGGGCTGGAGGGGGACGGACAGGACAGATTTCATTGGAAGGGCAAGATCACAGCAAGGTTCCTCATCTTGGCTATACTGTATTCAAGATTTAAATGAATAAAGCTGTGACTTAAAAGCATTTGTTGTAGTTTCTTCTTATACCTCATAGCAAACAAAGCTACAGATTGTGCTAACCAGAAAGTTAGTGAACCTTGTTCACAGTGTGCTTTGCTTTAATTGAGTTTAAATTCCTCCTTGGCCACAAAGCTTACTTTAGTAAATTTGTGTCCGGTCACTCTCTTTTAGTCTAACCTGCTTTACAGGGTTGTTGTGAGGCTAAATCAGGCTTCCTCAAACTTGACTCTCCAGACGTTTTTGGCCTACAACTCACATGATCCCTAGCTAGCAGGTCCAGTGGTCAGGGATAATAGGAACTGTAGTCTCAAAACATCTGGAGGGCTGAGTTTGAGGAAGCCTGGGTTAAATGATGTGGAGATTATGTACATTGATCTGAGCTCTCTGGAGGAAGGTATGGGGTAAAAATGAAATAAAAAGGTGTTCCAGCTGTTTCTGACAAGGAGTGCACTCAGGCCTTACTCTGCAGTATATTTTTAAATGGTTTAAATGGTTACTATCCAACACACCAGTCTACACCACCTTTATTTGTAGACACGGCTGTGTGATGGCCCATCTTTTTTAAGCTAACTGCCTTTTTGCTAGCCAGGCTGTAAATTTCATGATGGCTTTGCTTTTCAACCGTTCAGGTTGTCGCTACTAATTCTGGCACTTGGGCAAGATCTTGATGCATTCTACAGCTTAAATTATTTTGGCAATCCAACTGTAAGTTAATAAAACAAGGGAATGAATTGTAAAAGAGAAGAATAAGTTAATCACATGGCAACTTAATCGCTTTGAGCTTCAAAGGACATCCCACTACTGAGGTTCAACTATCGAAGCAGAATCCCAGGGGCTGAGAAAGAAATGGAACTGCATTTAGTGAAACGCCTGTATTTTGTGGTTGAAATGAGTGGTTTCCCTCCCCCATTCTAAATCAGCCAACTGGGTTCTCTCACATGCACAGAGGTTTGGGAGAGAGAAAAAGATCGCATAAACCATCAAGCAAAGACAACCAGGATCAAAATGTATATCTAAAATTTTGTTTCAACATAAAGCTATATGTCTAAATCAAGGTTCCCAGCTCACATATGCGTTTTCATGGAAACCTAAAGTTATTTGCCTATAATCAAATGCTAAGGGAAGACACTGAGCAATTTGCCATTGCTCAAACTGAGCACAAATGCACTTGATAACTTTTGCACCTCTCTTGCCTTGTTTGCTGTGTCTCATGTATACAGTGAAAGCTAAATCGAATGTTTTGTGTACTAGCCTATGTGCCCTTCAAAAGGGGAGGTCACTTTGGTGTAATTTCCCCTCCCCCATCTCCTCTGCCAGGGTGACAGTCTGATCATTGCTACTCCTGTGTCAGTTCCGAATATTACTGAGTACAGGGGGAAATATGACCCAGCGTTCATGTTCCACATTAGTCTGATTCAATCAAATGCCTTTCTCCTCTTTTCATTTTTGAACAAAAGCTCTCTGAAGACAAGGTTTGGCCAACCTTAATCATGCTGAGTAACGTTTTGCTACTTGATTAGTGCCAGTGAAATCATGGAGTTGACTGCTTGATTTGACGCTCTGAAGGTAAGGCTCCTGAACCATAAATGCTTCCAAATCAACTGTGTTTCAAACGAGCTGAAAAGTGTCAGTTTTACAAATGTGCACACCCACACGCAAAGCAGAATCTACAACTGGAAGATACGTTTACATTTTAAATCATAGGGTGCTTGCAGTAAAAGGAGAAAGGGATTATAAATGTCCCAGATGTTGTATTCAAATCAGTTTTAGCGCAGAAGAAAGGGATTAAAATAAACCCACTAGGAGTTGATAATAAATAATCAAGGAACCCAGAAACTGATGTGCCCCGTGAATATAAGCGGATGCCGGGAAGAAGGAAAGGTGGGGGGAGGGTGTTCAGATGAAAGATGAATGCAAGGAAGCCTGTTCATTTTAAACCCGGTCCCCATTCAGAATCCTCAGCCCTGCCTCTGCTCCTCCTAACATAGCAAGCAAAGCACAGTCTCTAAGATAGTAAATGCCGTTTTCATCAACTAACAAGGCAGAGCACATACAAATGAACCAATCAGGGGGTTTGAGTGAGCTATCAGTGCTAGGAAGCAGCTAGTCTGCATATTCCAGTTGAGTCACCACAGAGAAGAAAGTAGAAGTGGGGGTGGTGAAAAGGGAGAAAATAAATTACTGTGTGCAACTCCATCTGCAAACTGCTTCTCCCGCACTGGTATGTAATAAAATGTGTTGCTAAGATACGAGCTACTAAAGAAGTTCATTAAAGGACACTTTAAACAAAGCTGCCAGACTCTTTTCCCTTTAAAGACTGCTTATTTTGTTCTGTCCCTTATGATTATAATTAGATCATCTATATGAGGATTGCACTTCATTCAAGCCTACTCAGCAAAGAATGTTAATAAACCCACGTAAATAAGGCATGTGCACATATGAGCTCTCTTTCTGTCTGTCTGTGTGTAAGTGTATGTGTGGTTTGTGCATGAATATGAGTTATGGATGTTTGGCAGGTGGCAGAGTAATAGAAACATTAGAGGTTCAATGCTTTTTTAAATAATAATAAAAAAAGAGAAATACATCTCTGCAGTCACCTCTTTCCTACTTATTCTTCTACTTTAGATTTTTCCCAATACCTTACTTTTATACACAGTGCCCATACCTTTTCAAAATATATATCTTAGCTACAGTAAACTGGAACACTATGGATAAGGGATAAGTTTGGCAACAGCATCAATGTTCTGTGCTAGAGTTCATGCCAAAGACTGTATTATATTGCATTCAGTGGCTCCCAATTAGCTAAATACTGCAAACACACACACACACACACACACACACACACACACTGTTTTTCAAAGCATGAACCCCTACTTTTGAATTTTTTTGATATCTCTATGGTAGTTCTTGATATGTGAATGGTGCCATGGACCCGCTGGGTAGATTATGTGGAACCCCTAGGGTCCACGGACTACCAACTGGGAACCACTGAGTCATAAACAATGACAAGAGGGTCAAGATTATTTATACTTTTTCTTAACAGATTCTCCCCTCCCCTCTTGCACCCTTTGACTGAGTTCTGCATACTTATCACCAACCCACAAAATGTCCTACATGTTTAAGCATTAATGCTATAGGCCATTTGAACCAAGGTTTTGTTGTCAAAGAGGCTCTGAGTTTATCAACACAGTGTTAGGTCTGTTGATTTCTGTGGGTCTACTCTGCATATGACTTTCACTGGAAATCACCCAAGATCCTTAGAGGTTTGATTTGAGGGAGAGGATAGGGAGAGGAATGAAACATCATTCCCAGAGGGATTTACATTTTTTTAAAAATACATTTTTCAATTTAATTGCTATGTTTTCTTTTAGGGGTCTTCAATCTATATGAAATTATAAACAAATTTATGTGCATGATGTGATTCTGCTAGAACAGAGAAAAGGCACCGAGTGTGGTACAGGTACAGAATCCAGCTTCCTGAAAGCTTCAATTTTTTTGGTTTTAAAAATAAGGTTTCTAGTCCTTAAGTCTGTGAAAAAATGACAAAGTAAGAGAAATAATACAAATAGGCTATTTTGCATAATGTATACAGGCCACAGAATGAAACATTCATTGGAGAGGAATTTGTACAAAACTGTCATTTTCCCTTGAAGAGGTATCTATAATCACCTGCCATGTTAAAAACAGTTTCTCTTGTATTTCAGTTACTAGTAAATATTATATATATTTTAATTATACCTTTCAAACTCACTTATGTGAGCATATTACCTTTCTGCCTGAATGAGATCAGGAGAATTATACACAAGGAGGGAGTCCTGACTTGCATTTCTAAATCAGTCATCCCTTCTCATCTTTTTTTATAGAGAAAATCTTCAACTCACCAATAAATCTTTAAGCAATCTCTACTTGTTCAAAGAGCTCCAGAAAGTGGAAATTACAGAAAATACACTTTAAGCTGCACTGCATGTGAAAGGTATCAATGTTCTCATTTGACTTCTCTGGCTCAAAATGCAATGCACCTCCTTTTAAAAAGGAAAACTTTTGGTAACCCATTTTTATTGGTCCACTATTGAATGGAAAAGCAAATCCTTTCCAGATTACAAATAAAAATATTGCATCTCTCACAGAGGGAATAAATCACTGTTAATGTAAGGAAGAAAATCCTTGAGCAGGGATTCAAAGTTTCTCTTTCAAGCCCAATTACATACTCCTGTTGATTAGATGTAAGCAATCAGCCAAATTTTACATCAAACATTCTGTAGCCACAACTGCTATATTTAAAATCCCTGGAGCCAATTTCAGCTGAGGTGGGGGTGGGGGAGAGCAATTTCTCAAACACTCAAATCAACACAGCAGATGATTCCTGCAGAGGCACAAAGCTTCCACTAGAGAGTTTCATATCCTTAGAGCAATCTCAGTCAGATCTTCTTCTGTTTTACTTTCTGTCAAGGAAAGCCCTTTTTTTCTTCCATCCTAACCTTGAGTTTCAGGTTTAGCTCTTCCAGCGTTAAAATGTATTATTTCATACAGGGTTTCCTTTGTTATATTAACCATAAGGGGTTGTGTGTGCTGTGTTGAAAGCACAGCATATATTAGATTTCAATAGGTGCTTACTATTGGCAAGCGGAGGTTGTAGCTAGAACTAAGCCCAATCAGCAATTTCATATGACACTCTAAAAATTGCTACTACATGACAATAAGTAGCTGATTCAAAAAGAAAGAAAGAAAGAAAGAAAGAGGAAGGAAGCTTAAGGAAGAAAATTTTATACAGAAGTAATTTCTAATCATGGTGCTACTTTTAGCAAAAAAGACATTTTTAAGTGTTACTTTTTTACTAAAGTTAATATAACTGCCTAATATATATATATATTAAAATATACACCCCAATTTGCATTTCCACTGGATTCCTTTTGGATACATATCTTAAATTTGCAGTATGGGCTGCATAATTTCTTGAAGGTAAATTCTTGGATCTTCCTCCAAAGTACAGGGCTACGGTATCAGTTTATCATCTATAGACAAAATATCCTTATTTGACACCATGGAGCCATACAACTTGCTACTCTTTTTCTCAGTTAAACATTGCGTATGCAATCCAGCCAAGATTAAGGAATTTAAATCTCACTGGGAAATTGTTTAAACAATTGCTTAAGTCTCACACAGAAATCAGTGGGACTAAGATTTCTGAACTGAGGGATAGCTCTGATCAAAAGGCGCTTACAGTGAGATAGTGCCACATCATTTATTAGATATAACAAAATCAGTCAATACCCACCCGCTACCAGTGCAATCATAAAGGACCTGCCAGCACAGATTGACAATAGCATTGATACCATTTCCCAAACTCTAGAGACAGAGTATCATAGAAGATGGAACAAAACTGAGGGCAACCATTCAACAAAGCAGAAGTGATACCGGACTTGCGTTAAGAAAAAAAATGCTGGACTTGGTCACAATGGTCTCAGCTCCATGCTGAGGCTTTGGCTACGTCACTATGTTTCAGCTTAATTGGGGTTTTTGAGCAGAGGTTAGCTGACCATCTGTCATGGATGCTTCAGCTGCGGGGGTTGGACTAGATGACTCTTGGGGTCCCTTCCAAGTCTACAATTCTATTATTCTATGAAGTAAGAGAGACTTATCTCATAGGGCTGATACAGCGATAATTGAGCCAATGAAACATTCTTGCCTGCTCCAAAGCTTATCTAAATAAAGCTTTAAGTCCTCATGACTTCAGTGGGAAACATTTTACCACATGCTCAACTCTTTTTATACAAGTCAAAACTCTTGGGTCCATGAGCTCTTAGGATCCCAGTTGTACTGCTGCAAAGAAATAAATGCCCAGGCACCTTTTGCTACTTCATACATGGATATAATTTTCTTTTACAAACCTACATCATCAAATACAACTTCTTGGAACTTCCTGTTCCTCCATTTCTTCTTTGCCCACACTACCAATATGACCTTCCCTTTTCTTTCTTGGATTAAGCTCTATGTGAATCAAATTATTAAACCAATGGAAGATCCATTGAAACAGGACTATTCTTCACCTAGAGTTGCAAGATCAAAAACCTATTCTGGGTTTCTATAGCCTCCTGAAACAAAGGACTGTCCCTTAAACACAGCCTTATTGATCACCAAACTGGACCTAATGTTTGGTAGGGCTGTATTCAAAAGAAAATTGTTCAAAATAAAGCAACATGTAGAAACACTAAAACTGCTCATGTATGCCACATTAACTGACTGATATAGCCAGAGTCCTACGCAAAAAAATTAAGCTGGAAATTAAGGTTTGCTATCTGTAGGCCTGAAAATATACTGAAAGAATAATTGCTAAATGGTGCATGATCTAAGATTAGGTCCCTACAAAATGCAGCACACACAACAAGTTTTTTCAGTGCTCATGCTATCCTACCATCAGCTGTTCAATAATCAATTTTGACTCACTGCAGATTAGCTGTCCTCAACATGTAACAGGTAGCAAATATCTTTAAGCATTAAACAAGAACAAATTCTAAACAGCATTGTTGCTAGAATTCCTTTTTCTGAACAGACAAAGACATTGCAAGGAAAACATTACTAAATCACAGAGATAATCATCATAGTCAGTTCCTCTAATGAGGCATCATGGGATTACTGGAGTTATTATAAGAGTCATCTTATTGAAGAAATTCAAAGTTAATTGAAATCAATTGTACTGTTCTGACAGCAGGTGTTTTAAGTGGCTAAGATATCAAAGCGAACTCTTTAAAGCAGTTACAACAAATGTTACATTCACTTTTCTCAACCTCTAGCACTTCCAAGTGAAGAACTACAATTCCAGTTTGCTGTGTGGTGTTTTTTAAAGCAATCTTTCTTCTGCCATCAAGGTTTCTATGGAACAAAAACTGGTCAAAATATCTTTCACTGCAGTGGATGGCCTGAAGTTCATCTGCTTCAGGGGTTTATAGAAGGGGAAATTGTTATCCTTAGCGGAATTTCAAAAGTTTAATGATTTGATTTCCATTTTGGCAACTACTTTTCCCAATGAGGTGCCAAATCTTGCCACAACTATATAAAACAAAGAAAATGTTTAGCTGCAAATGTATAAAATGCATTCTCTCGGTCATCCTCTATTTGCAAGTAAGGTATTGGTCACGATCTGAGTGGCTCCACTCTACAGTATACATAGAAGACTTTCCTCCTTATAGAAGAGCACATGAAGTCTCTGCACACACAGAGCCCTGGATCGTGGCTCCATCTTCTATTTTCATTGATACTTATATTATCTACTTTATTTCATGCCTAACCAAAGGAATCACTGAGCTCCAGAAAAGTCATTAATTTCTGCTGAAACATGTGTAAACTGTGCTGCCATTCCAAGACACCACCTAGCTACCTTTGATTTGAAAAGCCCAGCAAAAACAACCCCTTGGAACAGATAATATAATACGCTCCATCAAAGATATAATTTGCCTACACATTCCCAGTGCTTAAGAAGAGCACCTTAATTCCGAGAAGTCTAATGCATCCCAAGAACCTACTTCCAGTCAGATCATAAACACCAAATGACAGTCAACAATTTAATTCCAGATATGCTACTCTCAAAAGGCAAAACCAGCAATAACACTATCTTGGAAGAGTCTGTCAGAGACTAATGTTGATTTCTATGTAGGTAGTAAATTACAGCAAAGAAATGAAGCAGCGCCCAAGTGAATGGCATATACATAATGCCTCTCAGGAAGACATATTTTTATTGCTGTGCTTCAGGACAGGCTTCTCTGAATCGAGGGTTCATCAGCAATGAAAACACAGCAAGTCTTCCACATGCTCACTGCTGATTTCCAAGATCTGCTTTACGAGTCAATACTAATGTCAGGTTAGAGTTTAACTGTGCAATTATTAAGTAGGCAGTTCAAAAAAAAAGCAGCAAGAGGAGTTAAGGGATGCCTAGTAAGCCCAGGCAAACATGCAGCGGAGTGCTTCAGATGTGCATTTAAAAGGACAATGCTGCTTTTCAGTGAAGGCCTTTTATTTACATATACATGCTTGTTCCTTGACAGTATAGATAAAAATGTTACAGCTGTTCTGTAGGTGATGGGGATTCAAGGTGTAAAAGCATTGGACCAACTAATGGAGTCTTCACACATCATATCTTGTTAAAGAAGAAGTAAACCCATTCTCAAATAGTATTACAATTCATCAACATTCTGGAGGGAGGGGTAGAATATGCAGGTATACTAATGTTTGCAATGAACAGAACCCACGCTCTGGCTTTGACTTTGGGGACAAAACGCAAAATGAAGTATTGATTCAAGATGCATTGGGGGGGATTGCAATCCATCCTTGAAAATACTGCAGAAAGTATTTAAGTCTATAGGAGAAATTAAATTAAATTACTCCAGCTAAGTTGCATCCTATATAAATCCATTTTTAAAATTGGTAATATCCTCAAAACACTTCGCATTTGTTTTTGGAAACCTTGATTTAAAAAAATTATAATAATGGATGAAGCCTATTAAATTAATCAGGTGGTCACAATAAGAATCTGATGCATGGAACAAAGAACAGAGAAGGATTTCTCCTATCTTCACTCTACACCCAGGGGCAACAATCCAGGATGGCACAGCAAATAAATTTTCTGTTCTCTACTTTCTACCCTGACTAGTGGGAGTGGTGGGACTCTGAATGTGGAAGCCACACTGTTAAGCCCCATTGCTGCCCACCAAGAGTTTGAGTTGGTCTCTAACACTGCAATGCCAAATGGGTCTGCCCACAGGGAAGTCAAATTGAGTTCAATGTAACACTATGTCCAACTAGGCATAGAGGAGTCTATCAGCAGTGGTGGTGCATGACAACAGCAATGACATCTAGTTGTACACTATGGAAGAATTGCAATGGTGTATGTTCCTCCTACATGGGAAGTTTATTGAGTGTTTTTGTGATGGTGTCCTGCTTCTCATAAGCATCTGGTTGGCCACTGTAATAACAGGATGCTGGAATAGATGAGCCTTTGGTCTGATCCATCACAGCTCTTCTTATGTTCTTATCTACATGCAGCTAAGGTAACCTGAATCCAACCCAATGGCCATGGCCAATATATGTGGCTGGTATGGTTTCACATATTCTATTTTCTCTTTCAATTAAAAATGAACACAAAACATGCATAAACATAGGGCCTCTGGGTTGGGCAGTCTTCATTCCCATTGATCCCAGATTAGCCCTGTTAAAGTCACTGGAGTTATGGACTGCAGCCAGAATTTCCATAGCATTTTCACCCAGTCACATTCATGAGTTCCACATTTGCAGAATGTAAAAACAAAAATGGTACCTGAAAGATATGGACAGGAATATGAATAACTTGTACCAGTTAAAACCAACATTCCTAATTCTACTTCCCAGAGGTCTGTTTAAATGTTTCACAGTGAACTCTGTGTTTTTTGGAACAGGGAGTCTGATTTAAAACATGAAATCCAAGCTCACATGCAGCAGTCCTCTTCCATGCGAGGCAAAAATGGGAGGGGAGCTTTGGACCTTTTCCTTGAAGAAATAACATTAATTGTATCAAAATCTGACTCCAGCAACTTTGTGATCTGTATTTAGGCTGAGGCTTTAAAACTCCTATCACTCTTCTCTCTGTGCAAAGGGAGATTTCCTATCTGGCCTCCAGAGGTGACAGTGCGCAGCACAAGAAGACACTGCATCAGCATCTGGTCTTATACCATTGTATAAGTTCTTGTTGCATAAAGCAGGCAGAGGAAGCCTGTCGATGGCATCTGCACTTTTCAATGTAAGTAGCAGTTGAATCCAAGGACTAGTTAGCTCATTGCATAATTTGGAGGGGGGGCGGGGTTCTTTTAGTGTAACACACAGGCATTGTTGACGATTTAGTTCACAAAGTGTTGCATGAGATTGGTAAATGTCATCCTGCACCCAACAGCTGCATCGAACCCTAATTTTCCAAGTATGTCTATTTGCCTTATCTAAATTCCAGCATGGTACATAATAAACAGCTCACCAATTACTATCATCATAAAAATTTCAATAGCCTTGAAATAGTTGTTATAATGCAGAGAGGAACAATCACTTTAATGCAGTAAAACCAACCACCACCGACTATTTCCCTTTCAAAGACAGGAAAACATAAACAAATGTATTCTCGGCAGTGTGAGGCTGTTCCCTTGCTTTAATAAATTCTCTACTCGGTGTAGTAGCAGAATCAATATAGCACAGTGTTTTACCCAACAAGAAAAAAGGACTAACTGCTCTAAGCTGCTGCTTCTGTGCTGCTTCCTTCCCCCACCCCCAAAGAAAAGAAACTATCTGATTTGATTCCATACAGTGATTAAACATCTTTGTGCTCTGCTGAGTAGGGCATTCTGTCCCCTCCCCCACTAAAAAAAATGGCATCAAAGCAATCAAAATGGTAATGTTAAGCATGAATGGGGGCCCATCCCCCCGCCTTCAAACTCTGCAGACTTTTCTCCATGTCATGAAGAAACCAACACCCCTTCCTCACAAAATGGAAGCTTCCACTACCAAACTGAGCGAGCTGACAAATTCTGGGCTGCGATCAATCGGGACAGGGAGGGGGTGGCGGCGCTGGAAATGCTCGCGCCCATCCAGGCACAGGCAGATAAGATATGCAGCCAACGTCGCCTCGGGCGCGCATGCAGCGGGCGAGGATGAAAAATAGGCACGGCTTACTTTTTAACTTCCACCACAACTGTCTATATGGAGCGGGAGGGGGGAATATTCCTTTCCTCTCTCCGTCCACCACCACCGGCTTCCTCCCTCCCCTCTCCCCGCCCCCCGGGTACGTATGGCGAAGACTCCTTCAGAGGCTGGAAAGACTGCTTTTAGGCCGGGCGGGGCGGGGGGGGCGGAATATGATCCAGGCGCTATTCCAAGTTTTGGTGCTGAAAGAACTGCTGCATTCCGAAGGAATCGCGATCGATTCAGCCGAAGGGAAAGGGAAAGGAGGTTGCGCTCTCTCGCTCTCTCCGCCAAAGGGGCTTTTGCAAAGCTGCAGGAGCAGGCGAGGAAGGGGGAGGGGAGGGGAGCCTGGCGAAAGTTGGCTTTTATGGGGGGGCGGGGGGAGGGGAAAGGACAACCCGGCAGGTCATCGACTAGATTTCTAAGCCGCTGCGCGATTCGTGCATTGGAAGTACCGAAAGTCGAACGGGGCGGGGGGGGGCAGGGAAGGGGGCTCCTTGTATTGTGTGTGTGGTTGGGGGGGGGGGGGTGTCGTTTTAAAGCTCCAGAGATGCGCGGGGAGCTGCTGAGCGTGCCGTGGCATCTGTTCGTGGTGCTGAAACGCAGCAAATCCCCAGCCCCGCGCCATCAGCTGATCTGAACACCAACTCACAATGCGAGACAACTTTCTTTCAGCTTGGAAAAGGGGCGAGGGGAGGTGGGTGGGAATGGAGGGGAGGACGGGGGGATCCTTCATTGCCCCCACGCACACCAGGGGGCAAAATAAGAGACACCTTCACAGAGAAAGGCACAAAAAAGAAAGTTTGTTGGAAGGAAGGTGGGCGAAGGCATCTCTTTCTATAGTGTCTCGCTTCTCTCTCCCTCCCCCCACTTTACCCCCCTCAGATTTGCCTAAGTAGACAAAGCTATGCAGGAGGGGTGCAGGGCTGTGTGTGTCTGTGTAAATGTATATACATGAACTCGATTCCGAAGCCAGCAGGTCAGATCAAGCCAAAGAAAGAAGACGCCAAGTGTGTGGAGTGGGGGGGGGGAGGGGAGAATATATATACACACACACACATATATATATACATATCTGTATCTATGGAAGCAAAGGCAGCTTTCCAATCAAAACTAGCACTCAAGGCTTTTGAAGTGGGATCAGTCCCCTTATTCTCAACTCTCTGCTTTTGCACGTTGCAAGGAAGTGAAAACAAACTAAGCAGAAGACCAAATAATTTCCCATATTCCTAAAACATGTCGACCAACTCAAAATGGACGCCTCGGTGTGTGTGTGTGTGTTTTTAAAACGTCTAACTACAGCATATCTCTTTTTGTGTATTATGGTTATTAATATAAACACAGTGCCTGGCAAGGCAACAGAAAACTGGATCCCTCATCTTTAAAACCTTTTCTCACTTTAGGCTCCCTTTAGTAAACATGAGTGTTTTATTCACTGGTGCAGGTATTTTTTTTTTCTTCCGGCCAACGCGGATTCTTTGAGAATGTTTAGAAAGTGCTTTGTAAAAGAGAGAGAGAGAGAGAGAAAGGAAAGGAAAGACGAAACCCCATCCACAGACACATAACTGAATCGATTCATTCTTACTTGTTTTTCATTAAGAGCAGCTATTCTCGATTGCCTCTCATGGATTTGTTTCTTAAGATCACCGTTCTGTAAAAATGGCAATAAAATGCAGATTAGAGACCAAGTGTAAACTAAAGCCAATTCAGAGGAAACTTGCGCTTAGGAATTGTTCGGGGGGCAAAAGCCCAACCGAAAGCATGCACAATAAGGAAAGAGGGTGGAAACAGAATAACCCCCTTAAGTAACAAAGCTCAGCCCGGTCTTCAAAATGAGATCTCTTACTGATAAACTTTCTCATCCTGCTGTCCCAGCAGAACTGCACTTAACACAAGAAAGCTAAAATACTGAAGAGGATGGGTTTTAAAAACACACACTCAACACACACACACAAACAGATCTGCATTTACCTGTGGATCTTGCTTCATCTGTGCAACTAGTTTCTTTTAAAAAATGCCCCTTAAAAGAAGGAACTAGAAAGAGTTTCACGTGTAATGGATTTTTTAAAATGTGTGTGTGTGTGTGTAAGGGGGAGGGTGGGGGTCTGGAACAAAGAGGCAAGTAAACACAGCGAGTCAGTTTCAAGCAAAGCTCATAAATATTCAAGTCTCGTCCTAATCTCTCCAACACACATACACACACACACACAAGTGCCAACCGCAGTGTTAACTCCGGATCGCGACAACAGAGACACACACACACACACACATGCCAAAACTCAGCCAAACAAGCTGGAAAACTACTTTTGTGAAGTGGTCCCCCCGGTGAAGGGCAGCGGAGGGAGGCTCCCGGAGACTCTCCTCTCTCCCCTCCCGCGACTCTCCGGCCCCCGAGACCCGCTTTCCGCCGCCCCCCCCCCCGGTCGAGAGACCCTGCGACAAGGAGAGCCCGCCGCCCCTCGGGAAGCACGCGGGGCTGGTGCTTTCGGATCCCCTTTCTGGCGGCCAGGCGAGACCCCGTCTCTCTCATTACCTGGTGGCACTGGATTTCCACTTTTAACGCCTCGGGCAAGCGGCGCAGCTCCATCCTTCCAACTTGCGAGGCACTTTTCGCCCACTTTCGGATCCCCGGGAAGTTTGGTGGCTTCTCCTCTCCCCTCACCCGCCCCGCTTCGCAGGGAGAAGCCACGGCAGGCGAGCCGGGCGAGGCGAAGCGGCGACAAGCGAGGGGCTTCCACGCGCCCCCCCTTCAAAAAGCGATAACAACAATCGAAAGAAACAACTAGTCAGGCTGCAAAGCAAGTTCTTTGCCTCTTTGCTGAGGGACGCGGACAAATCACTCACTTTCCGCCCAACTGGGGGGGAGGCTGCCCCCCGGCCGCCCCCCCGGCCCGCTATCCCCATGGGCCCCTCGGCCGCCCCTGCTCCGCCCAGGACCCGCTTAATGGCCTCGCGCAGCGCCGCCGCCCCGCCAATGGGGGCCGAGGAGACTTCCGAACGGGAGGGACTATATTTCCTCCGAGTGCGCGCCTTGATTTCACTTTGCCTCGGGAAAAGTTGTGCCACGGCTGCCAATGCTAATTCGGAGTTGCCCGGATGGAGCGAGGCAGGGCGGGGGGGGGGAGGAGGAGGAGGAGGCGAGAGGGAAGGAGCCCCCGCTCGGAGCATGCGCAGCAGCAGCAGCAGCAGCAGCAGCGGACCCGGCGAGAACAACGGAGGGATGGAGAGAAGCGCCGAGAGAAGTTCGAGTCCCGAAGAGCCTGTGTCCCCGGGAGGCGCCGAGGGGATGCTCAGCCCAAAGAGAGCTGTGAAGCCCGGGAAGCAGCTGGTGGGCTGGGCTGCCCTGCCTCTTGCACAGCCCGGGGCTCCTTGCTGCCTCTCCCGCAGGCAGGCGCCGAGAGAGAAGCAAGGTTCTGGGATGGGGGCGGGCCCCTCTCGCACAGCCTCCAGTGGAAGACTTTTCAGGGGACCAGGGCAGTGGATCAGAAGAAAAAAGTGCTCACACCACACCAATTTTTTAATTGCTAATTGGAAAGCAAAAAGAAACAACTCATGGCAGTGCTTGATTTGTAACATAGACCACAACTACTTTATAACATGACCATGGGGCATCCTGGAAGTATAAAACGATGCAGCTACGTGAGAACATGAATCATTCCCAAAATGTAATATTGACTGTCCTTGAATCTTCCCACACTTGCCATCCTCTCCTGCCACACCCTTTGAGAAGCACTGGACCAGGAGTTCCCATCACCAGCTGCCAATCAGCAAATGTGGTGGAATATAGCCCTGTGCCAGTCAACCCTTTTGTCCCCTCCCCACCCAGCCCATCTCTTGATCCTGCCCCTTCCATGTACCTATGTTTCCCCTTCATTCTTTACATGGCCATTCTGTGGGAGGCCAAGCGCCTGCCTTCCTTGACCATGTGGCTGAGGCAGCGCCGGCCAGGTTGTGCAGCAGGGGGAAGGGACCCTGCTTCAAGTGGGGCCTTCAAGAGAACACCTAGAGAGAGGCAGGAGTGGCTTTCCAAATAGTGCAGCAAGACTATCAGTGTTGGCGCTCAGAGCTGGAGCGTGTTGACATTTGCAGCAAAACGTCAGCTGGGGGGGGGTCATCAGAGCATTTTCAACAGATGATTTTCTCTCCCTCCCTCTCATTCCACAAGTTTTACTCTCTGGATGTTATGGAGCACTCATGTGCAGCCTCTTTAAGTGATAAATAGAAAAAAGTAACATCCAAAGCAACCCAGAATTGTTCACCTCGCCTATGCAAGCATCCCACTTTTTATAGTGGTTTGTGGAGCTTTACCAGTTTAATAATATTTATTTATTTCTCACCTTTCCTCCGAGGAGCTCCAGGTGGCATAGATGCTCCCTCTTCCTCCCTATTTTATCCTTGCGACAACAACCCTGTGAGGTCAGGCTGAGAATGAGTGACTGCTCCAAGCCACCCATTGAGCTTTGTGGCTGAGCGGGGATTTGAACCCTGGTCTCCCACTCTAACCACTACACCACACAGGCTCTCCAATACTGGTGTACCTTGCAGAATTGAGAAAATGAACGCAAAGTGTTGTGAACCTGCTTTATAAATGTTAAGTATTAATACCATTAATATCTGAATACAGCACTTCCAGATAGGCAGGTAAAAGGACAGGACACCTTGTGGGTGCTGTTTTGGTTGGTGAGTCATAATGAAACAAGGAAATTTAGATAATTAAAATGCCCTCCTAGTAATGAGTGATAACTTTGTTTTTGGAAATCTCACATTTTCTTAAATATCTCAAAAAGACACCTATTTTGAAGTTTTACTAATATACAGAATAAAATTTAATCTGCATGGTTAGTGAGCAGAGTCAACTAAAGTATTAGAGGCAACTGAAAGTTTTGTCTAAATCAGAATGGAAAGGAACACAAAGTTTGGCAAAAGAAATGCAAACTAACACTAAGGGATGCAAAAAATAAAGAAAGAATTTGAGGAACATATTGCTAAAAACAACGTTCAACCATAAAAAAAATATTTAAATACATTAATAGCAGGTGACAGACTAGGGACGCAACCAATTCACCTGCACTGGGTGCCTTGCTGAGAAAGCACTGACTTAGAATGGAAGGCGAGAGGCAGGGGGCACCAAATTCTGGCATCGCACAGAGTGCTGCTGAAATTTTAAAGCCCAAAGTCCACCACTGATATAGGTGAACCACCAACAGTCTTTGACCCTGGTTTGCTTCAATAATGACTTCAAATATAAGTCCTGTATACTTTTTTTAAAGTCAAGAATCCTCAAGGTATATTTTCAGCAAGTTCTCCACATCAGACTGGAGGATTCAAAATGTCAGAGCCACTGCTGGGTTACGCAGGCCACCTGTCAAGGTTCAGACATTCCTGGTCACAGTTCAGAACTTCAGTGGAATTTGAGGGCACTCTGACACTGACAGGAAACATGCTTTATCTGGCAGGATCAAACCCATTGTTAGCAATCCATCAGCCATGCTTCCATTGTCAAATCAAAGGATACCTTTCATTGTGCTGTAATATGCTCCTATTGTGCTGCTAAGCTATCCCAGTATTCCTGCCAGCCTTTCATCTTGCTGCTAACTTTTTCTCCTCCAGCAAACTCCTTTCTAAATGCACATGAATACTGATTAGAATGAACTTCTAAGCTGCTATCAAAATCTTCTCTCAGGTGAGGACTCACAAGCCCCTTTGATATGAGAGGCAGCCATGAAGGCACATCCAAGGGCAAGATTGTCTTCAAATGCAGAACAACATTGTTCCGTGAATTAGGACAACTGTTTACACTATAAATCAGGGTGCTGGGTGCTTGCTCTTTTGTTAGTTTCCATTTTTAGTACATTTTCTTTTGGGAAGTTCCTTGGAATTTCTGCTAAGTCGCTGTGCCCACAGGTAAAAAGACTTTGGAAAGACATAGAGAGGCAAAGGAGAGAAGGGAACAGCATTGGCAAGTCTCCACAGTGGTGTCATCGTGCTGCATTCAATGAAAGACAAGGAAACGGTTAGAAGCATAGTGCAGATTTCAAGAGAAACAGAACAAACTGTATATTTCTTTCCTGCTGGAATTGACCATGAGCTAGTTCCATCATCCCTTCCTGAAAAATAAGTAATGATGCAGTCATTTATAACTTAATTAGTGGTGAGGGAAAGAGAATGCAATATGTGTACAAATGCACATACACTGAGTCTTGAAATGTTGGATTAAGGCTCTAACAAGCCACAGTCCCTTTGGAAAACAAATACTTCTCTTTTATGTTGCATATATGGCTCACATACCTGTGCAAGGGTACGGACTGAAGGCACACGAGGTCTGGGTGTGGGCAGTGTCTGGATGGATGACCACCTGAGAACCACACATACACTTTCTTAGGTTCTATGACTTAAGAAAGGTGGGATATACAGAGGTGAACCTAGGCTCCCTTGAGTCTTTGGCAAGGAACTGTATCGGTGCCACCTTATCTCTTGTATCCTTGGCAAGGATGCTCCACTGAGGGGCCCAGAGCAGCCTGCAGGCCTCACCCAGCTGCCCAGAGCAGTGGAGGAGCAGCCCAGCGAGCATGCGGACAGGCAGGCCACTCCAAGCCAAAGTCGAGAGGCATGATTTTTGGCATCCCCATGGACCTCTGCCCTTGGTGGGGGTCAAGCTGGCCGACCCCAGGTACACCCCTGGATGTAAGGAAAAAGAATGCTGTGTTCCCCCAAACTTCTGGCAATTCACACACTTTAAAAAATAAAAAATAAAATTGGAGGTGTATTTCAGTTGTACATCCAAGTATGTATGCATCTAGATTCAGGTAGGTAGCTGTGTTGGTCTGACGCAGTCGAAATAAATTTTTTAAAAAAATGTCCAGTAGCACCTCAGAGACCAGTTCTTGGTATATAAGCTTTCGTGTGCATGCAGATACACTGAAGCAGAAGTCACCAGACCCTTATATATAGTGGGAGGGTGGGGTGGGGTTTTTCTCAGAAGGGTAGTAGGAAATGGGTGAATGACTCAAAGGGTATGGTAAACCTGTTTACAACTGCAATTAGTCCTACAGGAAAGAGCAAGAGATAGTATGCAGATGACCAAAAATAGCTTTAGCATATGTATTGAAACAAGAATCCAATATCTCTATTCAGACCCAGTCTCTCCATAGTTTTCAGTTTAGTGGTAAGTTGTAATTCAGCAACTTTTCTTTCAAGTCTATTTCTGCCGTCTGTTTTTTCCAGCTGAGCTTTTTGATGCCTTGTTTTTAACTTGCTTTTAACTTTGCTTTTGTTAAACTGTAACCTGCCTTGAGATCACATGTTGAAGCATACCCTGCAAATATACTTAATAAATGGAAAGTGGAGCGACATGGTGTAAGAGGTGCATCTTGCACCATCCCTGAATGCTTTGTGATGGTAGGTCAAGATGCACCTTTTACCCAGGCCTTTGGTCAAGTGGAACACAGGAAGCTGCTTTCAGCTTGATCTGTCTCACTCAGTGCAGTCATACCTCGGGTTGAAGTATCTTCAGGTTAAGTATTTTCAGGTTGCACTCCACAGTGACCCAGAAGTAATGGAGTGCATTACTTCCAGGTTTCGCCACTC